ACTTCCGCTCTCGCTGGTCTCTCTCTGGTCTCTCTCTGGTCTCTCTCTCTGGTCTCTCTCTCTGGTCTCTCTCTCTGTTCTCTCTCTGGTCTCTCTCTGGTCTCTCTCTGGTCTCTCTCTGGTCTCTCTCTGGTCTCTCTCTGGTCTCTCTCTGGTCTCTCTCTCTGGTCTCTCTCTCTGGTCTCTCTCTGGTCTCTCTCTGGTCTCTCTCTGGTCTCTCTCTCTGGTCTCTCTCTCTGGTCTCTCTCTCTGGTCTCTCTCTGGTCTCTCTCTGGTCTCTCTCTCTGGTCTCTCTCTCTGGTCTCTCTCTGGTCTCTCTCTGGTCTCTCTCTCTGGTCTCTCTCTCTGGTCTCTCTCTCTGGTCTCTCTCTCTGGTCTCTCTCTCTGGTCTCTCTCTGGTCTCTCTCTGGTCTCTCTCTCTGTCTCTCTCTCTCTGGTCTCTCTCTCTGGTCTCTCTCTCTGGTCTCTCTCTCTGGTCTCTCTCTGGTCTCTCTCTCTGGTCTCTCTCTCTGGTCTCTCTCTGGTCTCTCTCTCTCTGGTCTCTCTCTCTGGTCTCTCTCTCTGGTCTCTCTCTCTGGTCTCTCTCTCTGGTCTCTCTCTCTGGTCTCTCTCTGGTCTCTCTCTGGTCTCTCTCTCTGTTCTCTCTCTCTGGTCTCTCTCTCTGGTCTCTCTCTGGTCTCTCTCTGGTCTCTCTCTCTGGTCTCTCTCTCTCTCTCTCTGGTCTCTCTCTCTGGTCTCTCTCTCTGGTCTCTCTCTGGTCTCTCTCTGGTCTCTCTCTCTGGTCTCTCTCTCTGGTCTCTCTCTCTGGTCTCTCTCTCTGGTCTCTCTCTGGTCTCTCTCTGGTCTCTCTCTCTGGTCTCTCTCTCTGGTCTCTCTCTCTGGTCTCTCTCTCTGGTCTCTCTCTCTGGTCTCTCTCTCTGGTCTCTCTCTGGTCTCTCTCTGGTCTCTCTCTCTCTGGTCTCTCTCTCTGGTCTCTCTCTCTGGTCTCTCTCTCTGGTCTCTCTCTCTGGTCTCTCTCTGGTCTCTCTCTGGTCTCTCTCTCTGGTCTCTCTCTCTGGTCTCTCTCTGGTCTCTCTCTGGTCTCTCTCTGGTCTCTCTCTGGTCTCTCTCTGGTCTCTCTCACTGGTCTCTCTCTCTGGTCTCTCTCTGGTCTCTCTCTGGTCTCTCTCTGGTCTCTCTCTCTGGTCTCTCTCTCTGGTCTCTCTCTCTGGTCTCTCTCTGGTCTCTCTCTGGTCTCTCTCTGGTCTCTCTCTGGTCTCTCTCTGGTCTCTCTCTCTGTTCTCTCTCTCTGGTCTCTCTCTCTGGTCTCTCTCTCTGGTCTCTCTCTCTGGTCTCTCTCTGGTCTCTCTCTCTGGTCTCTCTCTCTGGTCTCTCTCTGGTCTCTCTCTCTCTGGTCTCTCTCTCTGGTCTCTCTCTCTGGTCTCTCTCTCTGGTCTCTCTCTCTGGTCTCTCTCTCTGGTCTCTCTCTGGTCTCTCTCTGGTCTCTCTCTCTGTTCTCTCTCTCTGGTCTCTCTCTCTGGTCTCTCTCTGGTCTCTCTCTGGTCTCTCTCTGGTCTCTCTCTCTGGTCTCTCTCTCTGGTCTCTCTCTCTGGTCTCTCTCTCTGTTCTCTCTCTCTGGGTCTCTCTCTGGTCTCTCTCTCTGGTCTCTCTCTCTGGTCTCTCTCTCTGGTCTCTCTCTCTGGTCTCTCTCTGGTCTCTCTCTCTGGTCTCTCTCTCTGGTCTCTCTCTCTGGTCTCTCTCTCTGGTCTCTCTCTCTGGTCTCTCTCTCTGGTCTCTCTCTGGTCTCTCTCTGGTCTCTCTCTCTCTGGTCTCTCTCTCTGGTCTCTCTCTCTGGTCTCTCTCTCTGGTCTCTCTCTCTGGTCTCTCTCTCTGGTCTCAGTATACATTCCAGGACATAAATGAATGTTGATTGTGTTTTTATTATATTTGAACGCACTGTACAAGAATACTTGAGTCACTTCCTGCCTCTCCGAGCTGACAGCGGATTGGCTGACAGCTGATAGGAGCTGACAGCTGATTGGCTGCAGTGAGATATAGAGACAGGAAACTCTAAAGAACATGTTTACGTTTAAATTCAGGAAAAATAAGAAAATTATTGAAATGCCTTTGACTCCGAACATTCAACAAATATTTCAAAAATTACTTAAATGTTTATACTTTGGTCCTGTCCTGGTTCAGTCCTGGTTCAGACCTGGTTTAGACCTGGTTTAGACCTGGTCCAGTCTTGGTGCTGTCCCGGTTCTGTCCTGGTCCAATTCTGGCCCAGTCCTTGCCCAGTCCTGGTCCTGTCCTGGTCCTATCCTGGTCCTGTCCTGGTTCATTCCTGATTGAGACCTTGTTCAGTCCTGGTCCAATCCCGGTTCAGTCCTGGTCCAGTCCTAATAATGGCCTGGTTCAGACCTTGTTCAGTCTTGGTTCAGACCTGCTTCAGTCCTGGTCCACTCCTAGTTCAGTCCTAGTTTAGTCCTGGTTCAGTCCAGGTCCAGGTCCTGGTTTTGATTCAATCCTCGATAGGCTCCATCTCCAGCTCCAGCAACAGCTCTGCTCCTGGTCCTGCTCCTGGTTCCAGTTCTGGTTCTGGTTCCGGGTTCATGTGCATGGTCTTGATGTACTGCAGGTGGCGCCGTGCATGAACTTGATTCTGGTGAATGTAGAACAAGAGGAACAGAACCATCGCCAGAAACCACACCCCCATGGTCAGCAGCATCACCAGGTCCACCTGCAACACACATGGTCCTGTCACTACACACAACACACACATGGTCCTGTCACTACACGCAACACACACATGGTCCCATCACTACACGCAACACACACATGGTCCTGTCACTACACGCAACACACACATGGTCCTGCTGTCACTACACACACATGGTCCCGTCACTACAGGTGTGTGTTACACATGGTCCTGTCACTACACGCAACACACACATGTCCCATCACTACACGCAACACACACATGGTCCTGTCACTCCACACACATGGTCCTGTCACTACACGCAACACACACATGGTCCCATCACTACACGCAACACACACATGGTCCTGTCACTACACGCAACACACACATGGTCCTGCTGTCACTACACACACATGGTCCCGTCACTACAGGTGTGTGTTACACATGGTCCTGTCACTACACGCAACACACACATGTCCCATCACTACACGCAACACACACATGGTCCTGTCACTCCACACACATGGTCCTGTCACTACACACAACACACACATGGTCCCATCACTACACGCAACACACACATGGTCCTGTCACTACACACACATGGTTCTGTCACTACAACACAACACACACATAGTCCCGTCACTACACACAACACACACATGGTCTTGTCACTACACACAACACACACATGGTCCTGTCACTACAACACAGCACACACATGGTCTTGTCACTACACACAACACACACATGGTCCTGTCACTACACACAACACACACATGGTCCTGTCACTACACACAACACACACATGGTCTTGTCACTACACACAACACACACATGGTCTTGTCACTACACACAACACACACATGGTCCTGTCACTACACACAACACACACATGGTCTTGTCTCTACACACACACACACATGGTCCCATCAATACACGCAACACACACATGGTCCTGTCACTACACACACATGGTCCTGTCACTACAACACAACACACACATGGTCCTGTCACTACACACAACACACACATGGTCTTGTCTCTACACACACACACACACATGGTCCTGTCACTACACACAAACACACACATGGTCTTGTCTCTACACACACACACACACATGGTCTGGTCTCTACACACACACACACACATGGTCTTGTCTCTACACAAACACACACACATGGTCTGGTCTCTACACACACACACACACATGGTCTTGTCTCTAAACAAACACACACACACATGGTCTGGTCTCTACACACACACACACATGGTCTTGTCTCTACACACACACACACACATGGTCTGGTCTCTACACACACACACACATGGTCTTGTCTCTACACAAACACACACACATGGTCTGGTCTCTACACACACACACACATGGTCTGGTCTCTACACACACACACACACATGGTCTTGTCTCTACACAAACACACACACATGGTCTGGTCTCTACACACACACACATGGTCTGGTCTCTACAAACACACACACATGGTCTGGTCTCTACACACACACACACACATGGTCTTGTCTCTACACACACACACACACATGGTCTGGTCTCTACACACACACACACATGGTCTGGTCTCTACACACACACACACATGGTCTGGTACACACACACACACACATGGCTCTACACACACACACACATGGTCTTGTCTCTACACACACACACACACATGGTATCTGTAGGTTTTGATAAACTTGATAAATGTTATATTGAGGGTTTACCTGTCTTCGAACCAACGCACACAGATCCCAGTCCTCGACCAGAACCAAGACCGGAGCCCCCACTGCACCTGAGAGAGAGACCATGAGAGTGAAGACCATGAGAGAGACCATGAGCGTGAAGACCATGAGAGAGACCATGAGCGTGAAGACCATGAGAGAGACCATGAGCGTGAAGACCATGAGAGATACCATGAGTGTGAAGACCATGAGAGAGACCATGAGCGTGAAGACTATGAGAGAGCCCATGAGCGTGAAGACCATCAGAGAGACCATGAGCGTGAAGACCATGAGAGAGACCATGAGCGTGAAGACCATGAGAGAGACCATGAGCGTGAAGACTATGAGAGAGACCATGAGAGTGAAGACCATGAGAGATACCATGAGTGTGAAGACCATGAGAGAGACCATGAGCGTGAAGACTATGAGAGAGACCATGAGCGTGAAGACCATGAGAGAGACCATGAGCGTGAAGACTATGAGAGAGACCATGAGAGTGAAGACCATGACAGAGACCATGAGCGTGAAGACCATGAGAGAGACCATGAGCGTGAAGACCATGAGAGAGAGCGTGAAGACCATGAGAGAGACCATGAGCGTGAAGACCATGAGAGAGACCATGAGAGTGAAGACCATGAGAGTAAAGACCATGAGAGAGACCATGAGAGTGAAGACCATGAGATCCGTGTGTGTGTGTTGTGTGTGTGTGTGTTGTGTGTATCAGTGTGTGTTGTGTGCGTGTGTGTTGTGTGTATCAGTGTGTGTGTGTTGTGTGTATCAGTGTGTGTGTGTGTTGTGTGTATCAGTGTGTGTGTGTGTGTGTGTTGTGTGTATCAGTGTGTGTGTGTGTGTTGTGTGTATCAGTGTGTGTGTGTTGTGTGTGTCAGTGTGTGTGTGTGTATCAGTGTGTGTGTTGTGTGTATCAGTGTTTGTGTGTTGTGTGTATCAGTGTGTGTGTGTGTGTATCAGTGTGTGTGTGTTGTGTGTATCAGTGTTTGTGTGTTGTGTGTATCAGTGTGTGTGTGTGTGTGTATTGTGTGTATCAGTGTTTGTGTGTTGTGTGTATCAGTGTGTGTGCATGTATCAGTGTGTGTGTGTTGTGTGTATCAGTGTTTGTGTGATGTGTGTATCAGTGTGTGTGTGTGTATCAGTGTGTGTGTGTGTGTGTGTGTGTATCAGTGTGTGTGTGTGTATCAGTGTGTGTGTGTGTGTATCAGTGTGTGTGTGTGTGTGTGTGTGTGTATCAGTGTGTGTGTGTATCAGTGTTTGTGTGTTGTGTGTATCAGTGTGTGTGTGTTGTGTGTATCAGTGTGTGTGTGTGTGTTGTGTGTATCAGTGTGTGTGTGTGTGTGTTGTGTGTATCAGTGTGTGTGCGTGTATCAGTGTTTGTGTGTTGTGTGTATCAGTGTGTGTGTGTTGTGTGTGTGTGTTGTATGTGTGTACCCAGGTTGGGGATGTCAGAGCTCTGGCAGATGACGTCATTCAGAGACAGAGGGTCCAACTGCAGCAGCGGCAGCACCTCCTGCAGGAGAGAGGAGGAGGTGCAGCGACTCATTCATCTGTGGATAGTAGTAGTAGTAGTAGTAGTAGTAGTAGTAGTAGTAGTAGTAGTAGTAGTAGTAGTAGTAGTAGTAGTGAGTACCACAGTTGTAGTACTAGTAGTGAGTACTACAGCAGTAGTTGTAGTAGTGAGTACTACAGTAGTATACCTGAGTACTGCAGTCACAGTGCCAGGGGTTATGGCTGAGGTTACTCCTGGCTCTGAGTCCGTCCAGAGATCCAGGTCCCAGAGCCGTGAGGAGGTTTAGAGACAGATCAAGAAACCTCAGGGACCCAGAGAGACCACGGAAACACCCAGGATCCAGGACCGAGATCTGGACAGAGGCAGGTCTAAAGTAGGACTAAAGTAGGACTAAAGCAGGTCTAGAGCACGGCTAAAGCAGGTCTACAGCAGGTCTAAACCAGGACCAAACTCAGACCTTGTTGTTGGACAGGTCCAGACTCTCCAGGCGGTGCAGATAGACAAACCCATTCGGAGGCAGAGACTGGAGCAAGTTTCTGTCCAAAAAGAGACGGACCGTGTGGACCGGGAGACCCACTGGGACCTGGATAAGACAAAAGACCATGTGACACCAGAGAAAATGACATACCAGGGACCTATGAGACTGAAGACCATGTAACAAAAGATACCTATATCCATCAGATCTGGTGTGTGCTACCTCTGGTCTCTCCCTGGTCTCTCCCTGGTCTCTTTCTGGTCTTGCTCTGGTCTCTCTCTCTGGACTTTCTCTGGTCTCTCTCTGGTCTCTTTGGTCTCTCTCTGGTCTCCCTGGCCTCCCTCTGGTCTCTCTCAGGTCTCTCTCTTGTCTCTCTCTGGTCTCACTGGCCTTCCACTGGCCTTCCTCTGGTCTCTCTCTGGTCTCTCTCTGGTCTCTCTCTTGTCTCTCTCTGGTCTCCCTGGCCTCCCTCTGGTCTCGCTCTGGTCTCTCTCTTGTCTCTCTCTGGTCTCCCAGGCCTCCCTCTGGTCTCGCTCTGGTCTCTCTGACACAGTACCTGTGTGAGGGCGCGGCTGCTGCACCTCAGGGTGAATCCTGACGGAGTCTCTGAACTCTGACAGACTCTGACCGACATCACAGCGCCCCCTGCTGCTGAGGAGGGGGGGAAGAGGGGGAGGAGGGGGAGGAAGAGGGGCAAAAGGGGGAGCAGGGGGAGGGGAGGCATGTCCAGGACCAGGCCTATACCAGGGCTTTGTCTAGGGCCATGTCTGAACCAGGTTTGAAGCATTGACCAGTGACCAAGACCAGGACTGAGGGAGCATCCAAAAACAGGTCTAAAACAGTATCCAGGGACCAGGTCTGCACCAGGTCCAAAAACCGGGTCTGTGACAACCCTACAATTCAAACTTGATTTACATCATAGAAAAAAAGTCTTCAGCAATGATTTCAAAACACTTTTTGGATTTTTTTTTTTGCTAAAAATAATGAGACTTCTTTACAAACCTGTTGTTTATAGGTTTGAGCTGCTGCAGCTGTCAAAAGCTGTGCATAGAGGACTAACCAAAGAGACACCATAGAGAGAGACCAGAGAGAGACCAAAGAGAGACCAGAGAGAAACCAGAGAGAGACCAGAAAGAGACCAGAGAGAGAGACCAGAGAGAGACCAGAGAGAGACCAAAGAGAGACCAGAGAGAAACCAGAGAGAGACCAGAAAGAGACCAGAGAGAGAGACCAGAGAGAGACCAAAGAGACCAAAAAGAGACCAGTGAGAGAGAGAGACCAGAGAGAGACCAAAGAGAGACCAAAGAGAGAGACCAGGGAGAGACCAGGGAGAGACCAGAGAGAGACCAGAGAGAGACCAGAGAGAGACCAAAGAGAGAGAGAGACCAGAGGGAGACCTGAGTGAGACCAGACCAGACCAAAAATTCAAGACCAGACCCAGCAAGGACCAGACCAAGACAAGACCTGGATCAAAACTGAGGGTTGCAAGACCGCGGTAGTCCTCTCTTATTTGGTTAATCTAAAAAAAAAAAACATCTCCAAATTAGCAATAACTTTGAACCAGGACTAAACCAGGTCTAATGCATCGACTTAGTCCAGGTTTGAACCCGGGTCGAAGTCAGTCTGAACTAAAGAACAATCAGAACCAGGACCAAACTCTATAATCCAGGTCAGACCCAACTCCAAACCTGAGTCCAACACCAGATTAGCTGCAGGTGCTCAGTGAAAAGTTGGAAATGAAAAGTATCGACAGATAAATCCAATATGTGAATAATCCCAGTGATATTCCAGATCAAAGAGCCTCTCTGTCGCCGGGAGCAACGCAGAGATTAGGATGAGGATTATTCTCTGTAACAACAGACCGGACACAAACAGGATTACACCCGGATTTTACTTGTCTAAAAAAGTGGATTTGGACCAAAATAACCTCCCACATGTGTCCCGCTGTCAGTCAAAGCCAGAGCCGACGGGAGCGGCCAATGAGAGGAAGGGGGCGGGGTCTGAGCTGTGATGTCAACCCGGGACGACAGCGGGAAAGGTAGGCGTGTGGTTTAGATCTGTGCCGATGTTTCACAGGGAGGAAGAGAGGAATGTGTCAAAGTAGAGAAAAGAGAGACCAGAGTGAGAGTTACCAGAGCGGGGGACCAGAGAGACACCAGAGAGACCAGAGAGTGAGACCGGAGTGACCCAAGAGAGAGACCAGGGAAGAGAGACCGGAGTGACCCAAGAGAGAGACCAGAGAGAGACCAGAGTGAACCAAGAGAGACACCAGAGAGACCAGAGTGAGACCAGAGAAAGAGACCAAATAGAGACCAGGGAGAGAGACAGCAGAGTGAGACCAAACATATACTGTACCAGAGAAAAACCAGCGAGAGACCAGAGAGGGACTAGACAGAGGCCAGAGAGAGAGACACAAACAGAGAAACAGAAAGAAACCTGAATCAGGTGGTTTCTCTCATTTTACGACTATTGATGAGGCCCGGTCTCCCTCTGGTCCTAGTCCTGGTCATCTAGGATTTTGGCGCCCGTTGCCGTGGGGACAGTGATGGGTTGTGAGGCTGGAATTAGACAGAGACGAGATGAAAGTTTAATGTGTTTTAATGACAGCTGCAAAAAAGTAGGTCAGAGAGAGGTCCCACCGAGACCGAGGGGACAGAGGAGGAAGCTTCTCCTAATATCTGATATCTCTCTGGTCTCTCTCTGGTCTTTTACTGGTCTCTCTCTGGTCTCTCTCTGGTCTCTCTCTGGGGTCTCTCTCTCTCTCTCTGGTCTTTCTTTCTGGTCTATCTCTCTCTGGTCTTTCCCTGGTCTCTCTCTGGTCTTTCCCTGGTCTCTCTCTGGTCGCTCTCTCTCTGGTCTCTCTCTGGTCTCTCTCTGGTCTCTCTCTCTGGTCTCTCTCTGGTCTCTCTCTGGTCTCTCTCTGGCCTCTCGCTGGTCTCTCTCGCTGGTCTTTTTCTGGTCTCTCTCTGGTCTCTCTCTCTCTCTCTCTCTCTCTCTCTGCTCTCTCAATGAGAACAGTGTTTGAGTAAATGGGGACCATCAGAACACTGACAGTGTGAGAGCTGAGTCTCTGCTGCCTCCTACTGTCCTCCTGCTGTCAGTGCAACACTCAATTTGTTTAAACTTCTGCTGCAGAGGGGGAGAGGGGGAGAGGGGAGAGGGGGAGAGGGGGAGGGGGGGGAGAGGGGGGGAGAGGGGGAGAGGGGGGGAGGGGGGGAGTTAAAAACAGAACTCTCTCTCTTCAGCGATGAGGTATTTATAACTACAACGAGACCAGACCAGAGACCAGACCAGAGACTAGACCAGAGACCAGACCAGAGACCAGACCAGAGACCAGACCAAAGACCAGACCAAAGACCAGACCAGAGACCAGACCAGAGACCAGACCAGAGACCAGACCAGAGACCAGACCAGAGACCAGACCAGAGACCATACCAGAGACCAGACCAAAGACCAGATCAGGGACCAGACCAGAGACTATACCATAGACTAGACCATAGACTAGACCAGTAATCAGACCAGAGACCAGATCAGGGACCAGACCAAAGACCAGATCACAACTAATAAGACTTTAGGACTGGAATCAGGACTGGAGACTGAACTGGGACCACAACAAGCACGGGAGAAGTCCACTAGGACCAGAGGTTTAAGATTCATCTGGGACTAAAACTGAGCCATGGACTAGAACTGGTCAGCAGCAGTAAGACCTGGACCAGGACCCAAACAGGATTATACCCAGGACTTCAGAACTCTTCAGGTAAGTCAAGAAAGTATGGTCCAAATGTAGTTGTTTTCATTAGAGGTCGTGAAGGAGTCTAGAAAGACAGAGACCAGAGAGAAAGACGAGAGAGAGAGACCAGAGAGAGAGACCAGAGAGAGACCAGGGAGAGACCAGAGAGAGAGACCAGAGAGAGACCAGGGAGAGAGACCAGAGAGAGACCAGGGAGAGACCAGAGAGCGAGAGCAGAGAGAGCCCATGAGACCGGAGAGAGACCAGAGAGGGACCGGCGAGAGAGACCCGAGAGAGACCAGAGAGAGAGAAACCAGAGAGTGAGAGACCAGAGAGAGAGAGACTGAGAGACCAGAGAGAAAGACCAGAGAGAGACCAGAGGGAGAGAGACCAGAGAGAGACCAGAGAGACCCCAGAGAGAGACCAGAGAGAGACCAGAGAGAGACCAGAGAGACCCCAGAGAGAGAGCAGAGAGAAAGACCAGAGAGAGACCATAGAGAGAGCAGAGAGAGACCATGAGAGAGACCAGAGAGACCCAAGAGAGACCAGAGAGACCCCAGAGAGAGACCAGAGAGAGACCAGAGAGAGAGACCAGAGAAAGACCAGAGAGAAAGACCAGAGAGAGACCAGAGAGACCCCAGAGAAAGACCAGAGAGAGACCAGAGAGAGACCAGAGAGAGACTTGGATTTGAACGACAAGTTCTGGAGTAAAGGGACGATATAACAAAATAAAACTGTAAAAATCTCTAAATCAGTAAAAAACTAAACAAATAAATCTTGTTCTAACAAAGCAAACCTCAGTGTGTGTGACATTCAGTGACCTGAGAGAAGTCTGGGAATCTAAAAATACGTTTGAAGCAGCTGCAGGGACTGAGGAGATCCAGGCTGTTGTTATCCACGATCCCACTGCACCTGTTGCTAGTGATAGAAACCGGAGCACCTGGAGGAAACCCAGCAAACACAGGGAGAACTTGCAGACCCCACACACAAAGGCCATGAGCCATAAAGGAGACGACCGCAAAAGACACAGGATATGTTCTTGATTGTCTCACTGCTCTCTCTCTGCTCTCTCTCTGCTCTCTCTCTGCTCTCTCTCTGCTCTCTCTGGTCTCTCACTCTGGTCTCTCTCTCTGGTCCCTCACTCTGGTCCCTCACTCTGGTCTCTCTCTCTGGTCTCTCTCTCTGAACTCTTTCTCTCTGGTCTCTCTCTGAACTCTCTCTCTCTCTGAACTCTCTCTCTGGTCTCTCTCTGGTTTCTCCCTGGTCTCTCTCTCTGGTCTTTCTCTGAACTCTTTCTCTCTGGTCTCTCTCTGAACTCTCTCTCTCTCTGCTCTGTCTCTCTCTGGTCTCTCTCTGCTCTGGTCTCTCTCTGCTCTCTCTCTCTGGTCTCTCTCTGCTCTCTCTCTCTCTGGTCTCTCTCTGCTCTCTCTCTGTACTCTCTCTCTCTCTGCTCTGTCTCTCTCTGGTCTCTCTCTGCTCTGGTCTCTCTCTGGTCTCTCTCTGGTCTCTCTCTCTCTGCTCTCTCTCTCTCTCTGCTCTGTTTCTCTCTCTCTCTCTGGTCTCTCTCTGCTCTCTCTCTGAACTCTCTGTCTCTCTCTGGTCTCTCTCTGGATTGTATTAGCTTCTTCTATTGTGGTGTGAAAATCACAGACCTCAGCTTTAATCCTACTGTTTCCGTTTGTTTGTTTTTCCTGTTTGTTCTTGTTGCAGAATTAGAGATAAAGTTAGATATGGAGCCGAATGTGACCGAGACCGAAAACTGGGTAAAAACATCGTCATCAGAATGTGTCCATTTCTCTCAAACAATATTCACCATTTTTCACTCAGGACCCGATGATCTGAGTAGTTTCACCTTTTTCAACACATTCAACTCAAAACAACGTCAGAAACTGTTTTAAATCTTATTTAACAAAAACGTCCAAAGCTACTCAGATCAGCCGTAACTCTCTGGTCTCTCTCTGATGTTTCTCTGGTCTTCCCCTGTGTGGTCTTTCTCTACTCTCTCTCTCTGTGGTCTCTCTCTGTCTACTCTCTCTTTCTCTCTCGTCTCTCTCTCTCTCTGGTCTCTCTCTGGTCTCTCCCTGGTCTCTCTCTGGTCTCTCTGTGGTCTCTCTCTGGTCTCTCCCTGGTCTCTCTCTGGTCTCTCTCTGGTCTCTCCCTGGTCTCTCCCTGGTCTCTCTCTGGTCTCTCCCTGGTCTCTCTCTGGTCTCTCTGTGGTCTCTCTCTGGTCTCTCCCTGGTCTCTCTCTGATCTCTCTCTGGTCTCTCTCTGGTCTCTCTCTGGTCTCTCCCTGGTCTCTCTCTGGTCTCTCTGTGGTTTCTCTCTGGTCTCTCCCTGGTCTCTCTCTGGTCTCTCTCTGGTCTCTCCCTGGTCTCTCCCTGGTCTCTCTCTGGTCTCTCTCTGGTCTCTCCCTGTAACAAACTGAGTTGGACATAGACAGTCTCTGGTCTATGGCTTTCATCAGAGTGAGTGAAGAAATGAGACTAAAACCTCAATCATGAAGCCACTTCCTGTATTTCTCTCTGGTCTCTCTCTGGTCTCTCTCTGGTGTCTCTCTGGTCTCTCTCTGGTCTCTCTCTGGTCTCTCTCTGGTCTCTCTCTGGTCTCTCTCTGGTCTCTCTCTGGTCTCTCTGTCTGGTCTCTCTCTGGTCTCTCTCTCTGGTTTCTCTCTCTGGTCTCTCTCTCTGGTCTCTCTCTGGTCTCTCTCTCTGGTTTCTCCTTCTGTCTCCGCCGTGTGTATTTGCCAACAGCATCAAATAACAACTAGTATAACATGAGAGTTACTTTCATTTAAGGTCAGAAGAATTCTTTTGTTGCTTGTTCGTCGTTCAGAGCCTTGGACTTTCTGTAGCTCTATTTTATTATGTGTTTGGAACGCTGCAGCTCAGTCCTGGGTCTACAGCCTCAGTCCTGGGTCTACAGTCTCAGTCCTGGATCTACAGCCTCAGTCCTGGGTCTACAGCCTCAGTCCTGGATCTACAGCCTCAGTCCTGGGTCTACAGCCTCAGTCCTGGGTCTACAGCCTCAGTCCTGGATCTACAGCCTCAGTCCTAGATCTACAGCCTCAGTCCTGGATCTACAGCCTCAGTCCTGGGTCTACAGCCTCAGTCCTAGATCTACAGCCTCAGTCCTGGGTCTACAGCCTCAGTCCCTCTCCCTTTGAACCAATGTCTCTATGTGTTTGTTATTATTACATGTCCTGTGTTTGAACTATTTGATTCTCTAATCTGTAGCTTTATGAATCAACAACTTTGTAAAGTCCTCAGAGACAACTGCTGCTGTGATTTAGATCGATACACAAATACATTGAATTGACAAAGATAAGAAAATCCTGGTTTACAGACGCTGAATGCATCTGGCCTGTGTCTTTGTCTCCCCCTAGTGGAAAGAGGGGGTATTGCTGTCTCCTGTCTGCACACACATCACTGTTTGGTTTAAATGAGGACTATGTGTGAGCAGGTGCTGGTTCTGAGGATGGAGTGGCTCTGGAGCTCGCTGGTGTTGCTGGTGCCGGCGGTGGTGCTGGTCACTGCTGGTGTCTTCTACATGTACGGCCTGGTGCTGGGGCTTCTCTCCAAGACGTCTGTGAGGAACAAGGTGGTTCTACTGACGGACGCTCTCACTGGACTGGGCAAAGGTCAGTCCAGGTTCAACCTTTTCAAACTTTATTTCTCAATACAATGATTTAACACAAGTTTGGGAATAAAGTTTCACACACTCTTCAGACACTGTGTGGGAAAAAACATTAGAAAATACACTCTCAGCTGTCCACGAGTCCATGGTTCTGTTCACAAGTCCATGGTTCTGTTCACGAGTCCATGGTTCTGTTCACAAGTCCATGGTTCTGTCCACGAGTCCATGGTTCTGTTCACGAGTCCATGGTTCTGTCCACAAGTCCATGGTTCTGTTCACGAGTCCATGGTTCTGTCCACAAGTCCATGGTTCTGTTCACGAGTCCATGGTTCTGTTCACGAGTCCATGGTTCTGTCCACAAGTCCATGGTTCTGTTCACGAGTCCATGGTTCTGTCCACAAGTCCATGGTTCTGTTCACGGGTCCATGGTTCTGTTCACGAGTCCATGGTTCAGCCCACGAGTCCATGGTTCTGTCCACAAGTCCATGGTTCTGTTCATGAGTCCATGGTTCTGTCCACAAGTCCATGGTTCTGTTCACGAGTCCATGGTTCTGTCCACAAGTCCATGGTTCTGTTCACGGGTCCATGGTTCTGTTCACGAGTCCATGGTTCTGCCCACGAGTCCATGGTTCTGTCCACAAGTCCATGGTTCTGTTCAAAAGTGCCTTGGTTCTGTCCACAAGTCCATGGTTCTGTTCACGAGTCCATGGTTCTGTCCACAAGTCAATGGTTCTGTTCACGGGTCCATGGTTCTGCCCACGAGTCCATGGTTCTGTCCACAAGTCCATGGTTCTGTTCACAAGTGCCTTGGTTCTGTCCACAAGTCCATGGTTCTGTTCACGAGTCCATGGTTCTGTCCACAAGTCCATGGTTCTGTTCACGGGTCCATGGTTCTGTTCACGAGTCCATGGTTCTGCCCACGAGTCCATGGTTCTGTTCACGAGTCCATGGTTCTGTTCACAAGTGCCTTGGTTCTGTCCACAAGTCCATGGTTCTGTTCACGAGTCCATGGTTCTGCCCACGAGTCCATGGTTCTGTCCACAAGTCCATGGTTCTGTTCACAAGTGCCTTGGTTCTGTCCACAAGTCCATGGTTCTGTTCACGAGTCCATGGTTCTGTCCACAAGTCCATGGTTCTGTTCACGGGTCCATGGTTCTGTTCACGAGTCCATGGTTCTGCCCACGAGTCCATGGTTCTGTTCACGAGTCCATGGTTCTGTTCACAAGTGCCTTGGTTCTGTCCACAAGTCCATGGTTCTGTTCACGAGTCCATGGTTCTGTCCACAAGTCAATGGTTCTGTTCACGGGTCCATGGTTCTGTTCACGAGTCCATGGTTCTGCCCACGAGTCCATGGTTCTGTCCACAAGTCCATGGTTCTGCCCACAAGTCCATGGTTCTGTCCACAAGTCCATGGTTCTGTTCACGAGTCCATGGTTCTGTCCACAAGTCCATGGTTCTGTTCACGAGTCCATGGTTCTGTCCACGAGTCCATGGTTCTGTTCACGAGTCCATGGTTCTGTCCACAAGTCCATGGTTCTGTTCACGAGTCCATGGTTCTGTTCACAAGTCCATGGTTCTGTCCACAAGTCCATGGTTCTGTTCACGAGTCCATGGTTCTGTCCACGAGTCCATGGTTCTGTTCACGAGTCCATGGTTCTGTTCACGAGTCTATGGTTCTGCCCACGAGTCCATGGTTCTGTCCACAAGTCCATGGTTCTGTTCATGAGTCCATGGTTCTGTCCACAAGTCAATGGTTCTGTTCACGGGTCCATGGTTCTGTTCACGAGTCCATGGTTCTGCCCACGAGTCCATGGTTCTGTCCACAAGTCCATGGTTCTGTTCACGAGTCCATGGTTCTGTCCACAAGTCCATGGTTCTGTTCACGAGTCCATGGTTCTGTCCACTAGTCCATGGTTCTGTTCACGAGTCCATGGTTCTGTCCACTAGTCCATGGTTCTGTTCACGAGTCCATGGTTCTGTCCACAAGTCCATGGTTCTGTTCACGGGTCCATGGTTCTGTTCACGAGTCCATGGTTCTGTCCAGAAGTCCATGGTTCTGTTCACGAGTCCATGGTTCTGTCCACAAGTCCATGGTTCTGTTCACGGGTCCATGGTTCTGTTCACGAGTCCATGGTTCTGCCCACGAGTCCATGGTTCTGTCCACAAGTCCATGGTTCTGTTCACAAGTCCATGGTTCTGTCCACAAGTCCGAGGTTCTGTTCACGAGTCCATGGTTCTGTCCACAAGTCCATGGTTCTGTTCACGGGTCCATGGTTCTGTTCACGAGTCCATGGTTCTGCCCACGAGTCCATGGTTCTGCTCACGAGTCCATGGTTCTGTTCACGGGTCCATGGTTCTGCCCACGAGTCCATGGTTCTACCCACGAGTCCATGGTTCTGCCCACGAGTCCATGGTTCTGTTCACGGGTCCATGGTTCTGCCCACGAGTCCATGGTTCTACCCACGAGTCCATGGTTCTGCCCACGAGTCCATGGTTCTGCCCACGAGTCCATGGTTCTACCCACGAGTCCATGGTTCTGCCCACGTGTCCATGGTTCTGTTCACGGGTCCATGGTTCTGCCCACGAGTCCATGGTTCTACCCACGAGTCCATGGTTCTGCCCACGAGTCCATGGTTCTGCCCACGAGTCCATGGTTCTGTTCACAAGTCCATGGTTCTGCCCACGAGTCCATGGTTCTGTTCACGAGTCCATGGTTCTGTTCACGAGTCCATGGTTCTGTTCACGGGTCCATGGTTCTGTTCACGAGTCCATGGTTCTGTCCACAAGTCCATGGTTCTGTTCACAAGTCCATGGTTCTGTTCACGAGTCCATGGTTCTGTTCACGAGTCCATGGTTCTGTCCACGAGTCCATGGTTCTGTTCACGAGTCCATGGTTCTGTTCACGAGTCCATGGTTCTGTTCACGGGTCCATGGTTCTGTTCACGAGTCCATGGTTCTGTCCACGAGTCCATGGTTCTGTTCACAAGTCCATGGTTCTGTTCACGAGTCCATGGTTCTGTTCACGAGTCCATGGTTCTGTCCACGAGTCCATGGTTCTGTTCACGAGTCCATGGTTCTGTTCACGAGTCCATGGTTCTGTCCACGAGTCCATGGTTCTGTTCACGAGTCCATGGTTCTGTTCACGAGTCCATGGTTCTGTTCACGAGTCCATGGTTCTGTTCACGAGTCCATGGTTCTGTCCACGAGTCCATGGTTCTGTTCACGAGTCCATGGTTCTGCCCACGAGTCCATGGTTCTACCCACGAGTCCATGGTTCTGCCCACGAGTCCATGGTTCTGTTCACGGGTCCATGGTTCTGCCCACGAGTCCATGGTTCTACCCACGATTCCATGGTTCTGCCCACGAGTCCATGGTTCTGCCCACGAGTCCATGGTTCTACCCACGAGTCCATGGTTCTGCCCACGAGTCCATGGTTCTGTTCACGGGTCCATGGTTCTGCCCACGAGTCCATGGTTCTACCCACGAGTCCATGGTTCTGCCCACGAGTCCATGGTTCTGTTCACAAGTCCATGGTTCTGCCCACGAGTCCATGGTTCTGTTCACGAGTCCATGGTTCTGTTCACGAGTCCATGGTTCTGTTCACGAGTCCATGGTTCTGTCCACGAGTCCATGGTTCTGTTCACGAGTCCATGGTTCTGTTCACGAGTCCATGGTTCTGTTCACGAGTCCATGGTTCTGTCGACGAGTCCATGGTTCTGTTCATGAGTCCATGGTTCTGTTCACGAGTCCATGGTTCTGTCCACGAGTCCATGGTTCTGTTCACGAGTCCATGGTTCTGTTCACGAGTCCATGGTTCTGTTCACGAGTCCATGGTTCTGTCCACGAGTCCATGGTTCTGTTCACGAGTCCATGGTTCTGTCCACGAGTCCATGGTTCTGTTCACGAGTCCATGGTTCTGTTCACGAGTCCATGGTTCTGTTCACGAGTCCATGGTTCTGTTCACGAGTCCATGGTTCTGTTCACGAGTCCATGGTTCTGTTCACGAGTCCATGGTTCTGTCCACGAGTCCATGGTTCTGTCCACGAGTCCATGGTTCTGTTCACGAGTCCATGGTTCTGCCCACGAGTCCATGGTTCTACCCACGAGTCCATGGTTCTGCCCACGAGTCCATGGTTCTGTTCACGGGTCCATGGTTCTGCCCACGAGTCCATGGTTCTACCCACGAGTCCATGGTTCTGCCCACGAGTCCATGGTTCTGCCCACGAGTCCATGGTTCTGTTCACAAGTCCATGGTTCTGCCCACGAGTCCATGGTTCTGTTCACGAGTCCATGGTTCTGTTCACGAGTCCATGGTTCTGTTCACGAGTCCATGGTTCTGTTCACGAGTCCATGGTTCTGTCCACGAGTCCATGGTTCTGTTCACGAGTCCATGGTTCTGTTCACAAGTCCATGGTTCTGTTCACGAGTCCATGGTTCTGTCCACGAGTCCATGGTTCTGTTCACGAGTCCATGGTTCTGTCCACGAGTCCATGGTTCTGTTCACGAGTCCATGGTTCTGTTCACGAGTCCATGGTTCTGTTCACGAGTCCATGGTTCTGTTCACGAGTCCATGGTTCTGTCCACGAGTCCATGGTTCTGTCCACGAGTCCATGGTTCCGTTCACGAGTCCATGGTTCTGCCCACGAGTCCATGGTTCTACCCACGAGTCCATGGTTCTGCCCACAAGTCCATGGTTCTGTTCACGGGTCCATGGTTCTGCCCACGAGTCCATGGTTCTACCCACGAGTCCATGGTTCTGCCCACGAGTCCATGGTTCTGCCCACGAGTCCATGGTTCTACCCACGAGTCCATGGTTCTGCCCACGAGTCCATGGTTCTGATCACGGGTCCATGGTTCTGTTCACAAGTCCATGGTTCTGCCCACGAGTCCATGGTTCTGTTCACGAGTCCATGGTTCTGTTCACGAGTCCATGGTTCTGTCCACGAGTCCATGGTTCTGTTCACGAGTCCATGGTTCTGTTCACAAGTCCATGGTTCTGTCCACGAGTCCATGGTTCTGTTCACGAGTCCATGGTTCTGTCCACAAGTCCATGGTTCTGTCCACGAGTCCATGGTTCTGTTCACGAGCCCATGGTTCTGTTCACGAGTCCATGGTTCTGCCCACGAGTCCATGGTTCTGTCCACAAGTCCATGGTTCTGTTCACGAGTCCATGGTTCTGTTCACAAGTCCATGGTTCTGTCCATGAGTCCATGGTTCTGTTCACGAGTCCATGGTTCTGTCCACGAGTCCATGGTTCTGTTCACGAGTCCATGGTTCTGTTCACGAGTCCATGGTTCTGTTCACGAGTCCATGGTTCTGTCCACAAGTCCATGGTTCTGTTCACGAGTCCATGGTTCTGTCCACGAGTCCATGGTTCTGTCCACGAGTCCATGGTTCTGTTCACAAGTCCATGGTTCTGTTCACGAGCCCATGGTTCTGTTCACGAGTCCATGGTTCTGTTCACGAGTCCATGGTTCTGTTCACGAGTCCATGGTTCTGTCCACGAGTCCATGGTTCTGTTCACGAGTCCATGGTTCTGTCCACGAGTCCATGGTTCTGCCCACGAGTCCATGGTTCTGTCCACAAGTCCATGGTTCTGTTCACGAGTCCATGGTTCTGTTCACAAGTCCATGGTTCTGTCCACGAGTCCATGGTTCTGTTCACGAGTCCATGGTTCTGTTCACGAGTCCATGGTTCTGCCCACGAGTCCATGGTTCTGTTCACGGGTCCATGGTTCTGCCCACGAGTCCATGGTTCTACCCACGAGTCCATGGTTCTGCCCACGAGTCCATGGTTCTGCCCACGAGTCCATGGTTCTCCCCACGAGTCCATGGTTCTGCCCACGTGTCCATGGTTCTGTTCACGGGTCCATGGTTCTGCCCACGAGTCCATGGTTCTACCCACGAGTCCATGGTTCTGCCCACGAGTCCATGGTTCTGCCCACGAGTCCATGGTTCTGTTCACAAGTCCATGGTTCTGCCCACGAGTCCATGGTTCTGTTCACGAGTCCATGGTTCTGTTCACGAGTCCATGGTTCTGTTCACGGGTCCATGGTTCTGTTCACGAGTCCATGGTTCTGTCCACAAGTCCATGGTTCTGTTCACAAGTCCATGGTTCTGTTCACGAGTCCATGGTTCTGTTCACGAGTCCATGGTTCTGTCCACGAGTCCATGGTTCTGTTCACGAGTCCATGGTTCTGTTCACGAGTCCATGGTTCTGTTCACGGGTCCATGGTTCTGTTCACGAGTCCATGGTTCTGTCCACAAGTCCATGGTTCTGTTCACGAGTCCATGGTTCTGTTCACGAGTCCATGGTTCTGTTCACGAGTCCATGGTTCTGTTCACGAGTCCATGGTTCTGTTCACGAGTCCATGGTTCTGTCCACGAGTCCATGGTTCTGTTCACGAGTCCATGGTTCTGTTCACGAGTCCATGGTTCTGTTCACGAGTCCATGGTTCTGTTCACGAGTCCATGGTTCTGTCCACGAGTCCATGGTTCTGTTCACGAGTCCATGGTTCTGCCCACGAGTCCATGGTTCTACCCACGAGTCCATGGTTCTGCCCACGAGTCCATGGTTCTGTTCACGGGTCCATGGTTCTGCCCACGAGTCCATGGTTCTACCCACGATTCCATGGTTCTGCCCACGAGTCCATGGTTCTGCCCACGAGTCCATGGTTCTACCCACGAGTCCATGGTTCTGCCCACGAGTCCATGGTTCTGTTCACGGGTCCATGGTTCTGCCCACGAGTCCATGGTTCTACCCACGAGTCCATGGTTCTGCCCACGAGTCCATGGTTCTGTTCACAAGTCCATGGTTCTGCCCACGAGTCCATGGTTCTGTTCACGAGTCCATGGTTCTGTTCACGAGTCCATGGTTCTGTTCACGAGTCCATGGTTCTGTCCACGAGTCCATGGTTCTGTTCACGAGTCCATGGTTCTGTTCACGAGTCCATGGTTCTGTTCACGAGTCCATGGTTCTGTCGACGAGTCCATGGTTCTGTTCACGAGTCCATGGTTCTGTTCACGAGTCCATGGTTCTGTCCACGAGTCCATGGTTCTGTTCACGAGTCCATGGTTCTGTTCACGAGTCCATGGTTCTGTTCACGAGTCCATGGTTCTGTCCACGAGTCCATGGTTCTGTTCACGAGTCCATGGTTCTGTCCACGAGTCCATGGTTCTGTTCACGAGTCCATGGTTCTGTTCACGAGTCCATGGTTCTGTTCACGAGTCCATGGTTCTGTTCACGAGTCCATGGTTCTGTTCACGAGTCCATGGTTCTGTTCACGAGTCCATGGTTCTGTCCACGAGTCCATGGTTCTGTCCACGAGTCCATGGTTCTGTTCACGAGTCCATGGTTCTGCCCACGAGTCCATGGTTCTACCCACGAGTCCATGGTTCTGCCCACGAGTCCATGGTTCTGTTCACGGGTCCATGGTTCTGCCCACGAGTCCATGGTTCTACCCACGAGTCCATGGTTCTGCCCACGAGTCCATGGTTCTGCCCACGAGTCCATGGTTCTGTTCACAAGTCCATGGTTCTGCCCACGAGTCCATGGTTCTGTTCACGAGTCCATGGTTCTGTTCACGAGTCCATGGTTCTGTTCACGAGTCCATGGTTCTGTTCACGAGTCCATGGTTCTGTCCACGAGTCCATGGTTCTGTTCACGAGTCCATGGTTCTGTTCACGAGTCCATGGTTCTGTTCACGAGTCCATGGTTCTGTCCACGAGTCCATGGTTCTGTTCACGAGTCCATGGTTCTGTCCACGAGTCCATGGTTCTGTTCACGAGTCCATGGTTCTGTTCACGAGTCCATGGTTCTGTTCACGAGTCCATGGTTCTGTTCACGAGTCCATGGTTCTGTCCACGAGTCCATGGTTCTGTCCACGAGTCCATGGTTCCGTTCACGAGTCCATGGTTCTGCCCACGAGTCCATGGTTCTACCCACGAGTCCATGGTTCTGCCCACAAGTCCATGGTTCTGTTCACGGGTCCATGGTTCTGCCCACGAGTCCATGGTTCTACCCACGAGTCCATGGTTCTGCCCACGAGTCCATGGTTCTGCCCACGAGTCCATGGTTCTACCCACGAGTCCATGGTTCTGCCCACGAGTCCATGGTTCTGTTCACGGGTCCATGGTTCTGTTCACAAGTCCATGGTTCTGCCCACGAGTCCATGGTTCTGTTCACGAGTCCATGGTTCTGTTCACGAGTCCATGGTTCTGTCCACGAGTCCATGGTTCTGTTCACGAGTCCATGGTTCTGTTCACGAGTCCATGGTTCTGTTCACGAGTCCATGGTTCTGTCCACGAGTCCATGGTTCTGTTCACGAGTCCATGGTTCTGTCCACAAGTCCATGGTTCTGTCCACGAGTCCATGGTTCTGTTCACGAACCCATGGTTCTGTTCACGAGTCCATGGTTCTGCCCACGAGTCCATGGTTCTGTCCACAAGTCCATGGTTCTGTTCACGAGTCCATGGTTCTGTTCACAAGTCCATGGTTCTGTCCATGAGTCCATGGTTCTGTTCACGAGTCCATGGTTCTGTCCACGAGTCCATGGTTCTGTTCACGAGTCCATGGTTCTGTTCACGAGTCCATGGTTCTGTTCACGAGTCCATGGTTCTGTCCACAAGTCCATGGTTCTGTTCACGAGTCCATGGTTCTGTCCACGAGTCCATGGTTCTGTCCACGAGTCCATGGTTCTGTTCACGAGTCCATGGTTCTGTTCACGAGCCCATGGTTCTGTTCACGAGTCCATGGTTCGGTTCACGAGTCCATGGTTCTGTTCACGAGTCCATGGTTCTGTCCACGAGTCCATGGTTCTGTTCACGAGTCCATGGTTCTGTCCACGAGTCCATGGTTCTGCCCACGAGTCCATGGTTCTGTCCACGAGTCCATGGTTCTGTTCACGAGTCCATGGTTCTGTTCACAAGTCCATGGTTCTGTCCACGAGTCCATGGTTCTGTTCACGAGTCCATGGTTCTGTTCACGAGTCCATGGTTCTGTTCACGAGTCCATGGTTCTGTTCACGAGTCCATGGTTCTGTCCACTTCCCACCCGCCGCATGCTCCTCTACCTGTTAGCTCTCTGCTGCCTCCTACTGATCCACAGTTCAAGTCAGCGCTCGCCAACGGTGGATGCATTTATTTTTAAACAAAGTCGGCAAATTTCTTTGGGTCCGGGTACTCTACTCTACTCTACTCTACTCTACTCTACTCTACTCTACTCTACTCTACTCTACTCTACTCTACTCTACTCTACTCTACTCTACTCTGCTCTGCTCTACTCTACTCTACTCTACTCTACTCTACTCTACTCTACTCTACTCTACTGTGCTCTACTCTACTCTACTCTACTCTACTCTACTCTACTCTACTCTGCTCTACTCTGCTCTGCTCTGCTCTGCTCTACTCTACTCTACTCTACTCTACTCTACTCTACTCTACTCTACTCTACTCTACTGTGCTCTACTCTACTCTACTCTACTCTACTCTACTCTACTCTACTCTACTCTACTCTACTCTACTCTACTCTACTCTGCTCTACTCTGCTCTGCTCTACTCTACTCTACTCTACTCTACTCTGCTCTGCTCTACTCTACTCTACTCTACTGTGCTCTACTCTACTCTGCTCTGCTCTACTCTACTCTACTCTACTCTACTGTGCTCTACTCTACTCTACTCTACTGTGCTCTACTCTACTCGGCTGTGCTCTTGTCTGTCTTGTGTTTGATGGTCTGTACTGGTTTCTTCCTTGTGTTTGATGGTCTGTACTGGTTCCTTCCTTGTGTTTGATGGTCCGTACTGGTTCCTTCCTTGTGTTTGATGGTCTGTACTGGTTCCTTTCTTGTGCTTGATGGTCCGTACTGGTTCCTTGCAGAGTGTGCGGGCCTGTTCCACCGTGGAGGAGCTCGCCTGGTCCTGTGTGGCAGAGACTGGGACCAGCTGGAGGAGCTGTCGGACCAGCTGAGCCGAGACTCTGACCCGGCCCAGGTGAGACTCAGAACGCTTACACCAGACCAGCTGAGAGACAGGACCATCAGAGACACACAGTCCTCCTCTGATGGTCTTGAGAAGAGAGAGCACATAACCCCTGTGCTGGTATTACTGCCTTCTGTAGATCTGACAGAGCTGCGTTCTCTGTACGATGGTCTCTCTCTGATTTTTCTCTCTGGTCTCTCTCTCTGGTTTCTGCTGTGTCCCCCTCTTCCTCCTCCTCCCCCTCCTCCTCCTCCCCCTCCTCCCCCTCTTCCTCCTCCTCCCCCTCCTCCTCCTCCCCCTCCTCCTCCTCCCCCTCTTCCTCCTCCTCCTCCTCCTCCCCCTCCTCCCCCTCTTCCTCCTCCTCCCCCTCCTCCCCCTCCTCCCCCTCCTCCTCCCCCTCCTCCTCCTCCCCCTCCTCCTCCTCCTCCCCCTCCTCCCTCTCTTCCTCCTCCTCCCCCTCCTCCTCCTCCCCCTCCTCCTCCTCAGACGTTCCCGGTGAAGCTGGTCCTCCTGGACTTTGGGGACATGGCGTCTCTCCCGGAGGCGGTGGAGGAGGTGCTGGAGTGTTACGGCTGTTTGGACATTCTCCTCCTCAACAGCTCCGTCAAGGTCTGATCACACACACCATCAACAACACACCATCAACAACACTGTTTAATGAATCTCTCTCTCTCCCTCTGCTCTCTCTGCTCTCTCTCTGCTCTCTCTCTCTCTGGTCTCTCTCTGCTCTCTCTCTGGTCTCTCTCTGGTCTCTCTCTGCTCTCTCTGGTCTCTCTCTGGTCTCTCTCTGGTCTCTCTCTGGTCTCTCTCTGGTCTCTCTCTGCTCTCTCTCTCTCTGGTCTCTCTCTGCTCTCTCTGCTCTCTCTCTGCTCTCTCTCTCTCTGGTCTCTCTCTGCTCTCTCTGGTCTCTCTCTGCTCTCTCTGGTCTCTCTCTGGTCTCTCTCTGGTCTCTCTCTGCTCTCTCTCTGGTCTCTCTCTGGTCTCTCTCTGCTCTCTCTCTCTCTGGTCTCTCTCTGGTCTCTCTCTGGTCTCTCTCTGGTCTCTCTCTGCTCTCTCTCTCTCTGGTCTCTCTCTGGTCTCTCTCTGGTCTTTCTCTGCTCTCTCTCTCTCTGGTCTCTCTCTGGTCTCTCTCTGGTCTCTCTCTGGTCTCTCTCTGCTCTCTCTCTCTGCTCTCTCTCTCTGGTCTCTCTCTGGTCTTTCTCTGCTCTCTCTCTCTCTGGTCTCTCTCTGGTCTCTCTCTGGTCTCTCTCTGGTCTCTCTCTGGTCTCTCTCTGGTTTCTCAGGTGAAGGCTCCTGCTCACACAGTGTCTCTGGAAATGGACAAACTCATTATGGACAACAACTACTTTGGCCCCGTCACTCTGACCAAAGGTAAAGACTCTCTACTCTACTCTACTCTACTCTACTCTACTCTACTCTACTCTACTCTACTCTACTCTACTCTACTCTACTCTACTCTACTCTACTCTACTCGACTCGACTCTTTCCTCTGGTCCTGTTTAACCAGTATCAGGTCCTTCTTTAATCCCTCTTGGTACTAGTGTTCTACCTGACAGTGATTGACCAGAGTGCTGCTGGATTTGGGTTTGTTGTGGGTCGGTTGCTAGGATACGGCACCAGATACTAAAGTATAATGAAAAGACCAGATTAGAGCTGGTGGTAATGGGGCTATAGTAATCTTAATGATAACGGAGGCACGTTGGCTGAGTGGATAGCACTCTCGTAACGGGTTCGAATCCTGGTCGGAACAGGACCTTTCGGGGTGGAGTTTGTATGCGTGTCTGTGTAAGTTTCCTCCGGGTGCTCCGGTTTACCCTACCACTAAAAACATGTACAATAGTTCTGGCATCTGCCTCCTGTACTGGCCCCGCTCCCATCTCTGTGTGGAGTGAGAGACAAATGCCCACAACTGTAAGCCGCTTTGTTACTCTACTCTGTGAAAGGCGGTGTATAAAAAAAGATTACTTACTTACTAATTACTTCTCTCCGGTCTCGCTCTGGTCTCTCTCTGGTCTCGCTCTGATCTCTGCAGCTGTACTTCCTACGATGATCTCCAGGAGAAGTGGACACATCCTGCTCCTCAACAGCATCCAGAGCAAACTGCCTGTGCCATTCAGATCACACTGTGAGACATACACACACACACACACACACACACACACACAGACACAGACACACACACTTTAGACTGAGGCTGTAGATTAAAGTCCCTGCATCCCTCAGACTCGGCGTCCAAACATGCGGTCCAGGCCTTCTTCGACTGTCTCCGAGCTGAAGTGGAGGAGTTCGGAGTCACCGTGAGCTCCATCCATCACACCTTCATCTGCAGCAGCTCGGCCCCACAGGAACAGCGCCCCCTGGGGTCCTGTGAGTATCTGCACCAGGAGAGGAGGAGATGTACAGTACCACTACTGTCTCTATGGTCTCTTTCTGGTCTATGTTATGTGTCTCTCTGGTCCCACTTGTGTCACTTGTGTCTCTGTGTGTCTCTCTGGTCTCACTTGCGTGTCTCTGTGTGTCTCTCTGGTCTCACTTGTGTGTCTCTGTGTGTCTCTGTGTGTCTCTCTGGTCTCACTTGTGCCTCAGTGCTGTTCCCCCGCCGGCCTGCAGGGATCAGTGTCTCTGTTCTCACTTGTGTCTCTGTGTGTCTCTGTTCTCACTTGTGTCTCTGTGTGTCCCTCTGGTCTTACTTGTGTCTCAGGGCTGTTCCCCCGCCGGCCTGCAGGGGTCAGTGTTGATGAAGCAGCAGCAGAGATCGTGAAGACCCTGAACAACAGGAAGAGGGAGGTTGTGTTGGCAGCGTCTCTGCCCAAACTGGCCGTGTGTGTGCGCTCCCTGTGTCCCAACCTCTTCTACTCTGTGACCGCGGCCGGGGTCAGGGACCTGACCTCCGACCTCTGACCTCCAAACTCTAACCCCCGACCTCTGACCTCCGATCAGTCACAACAATAAACTCTACTCTGTTCTCTGGTTGATTTTGTTTGTGTTTTATACATCATGTATCATGTTCATGTTTGTGTGGGACTCCACCTCATGTCAAATCACTTATGTCCTGTGTTTTTTTAATGTTATGTGCTGCTCAAATGAATTGCCCCTGGTGGGATTAATAAAGTAATCTGAATCTGAATCTGAATCTATAGTATTGTAAGCGTGTGCTGGAGTGCGCATGCGCAAAGAGCTGTGGAAAAACCTGAAATGTTTAAAAACTGGCCGGGAGAGTAACGGTCGTGTCGGGCTGTTCATTAATAAACGGAGTCTGGTTATTTTATTCTCCAAAGATACTTCTGCCTCTGCTTCCTACCTAGCTTGCCCGTTACATTGGTGGCAGCGGTGTCCTTCGGAATACTCGGGAATTGCAGTTGGCGTTATTTGGTGAACTATGTGGACCCAGGGGGGTGTGCAATATCAGAGTGGACCTGCCTGCAGCGTTTTGTGGAGATGGACGTAAACTTTTCGCTACCTGGATAAAGCAGTTCGAAGCGGCGGTCCGTGCTCAGACCCGGGGTGATGGGAGAAGCTATGCCGCGTCCTTAACCGCTCTGCTGCCCACCCGGCTGGATGGTGCGGCGTTTCTGTTGTGGGACAGCCTGCCCTCGTCTGTGCAGTGTGATTTTGAACGGGTGAAGGAAAAACTCAATGAGGCTTTTGGACAGAAACAGTTTTTGCTGTATTTTCAGACGTGCGTCTCGGCTCGTCCCCGTGGGGCGAGCGAGAGCCTGGAGCTGTACGCTGCGGACCTTTCCCGGCTCGTTGCTGAAGCTTTCCTGGAGTATGACAAAATGGCACAGAATGGTGAGAAGTTCTGTCGCTTTCTGGCTGGACTTGACCCTGGGCTGCGGGCCAAATGCCACGAACAGGGCGCAACTGACTTGGAGGAAGCACTGATGATAGCGGGTCGATGCGAGCGCGCTAGAATGGCCCTGGGTGTGGGTCTACAGAGCGGACCCGGCTCCCATCCTGCACCAGCCACGGTGGCCTCTCTCTCCGCGGCTGAGGGGACAGCGCTGGGCACTTCCGGAGTGACGGGAAAGCTTCTCGGTGCTGTGGAGCGGCTTACAGACAGGATGGACAAACTACAGATGGAGGTGGTCAATTTGAGAGCACAACGGAGTGACCACACACCTCGCACTAGTCAAGGTTTTCCGCGTGCCTGCGAGTGTGGCGGATTTGGCTGCAGATCCTCTGCTCGTGAGCATCGCGTGGAGTGCAATGGTCGTGCACCGCGATACGTATCCAGGAATACCCGGGAGTGGTCCCCACAGGCGCAGGAGGATCGGGGCGCGGCGCCTGATTACCCTCACCGCCGTGAAGAGGACGAGACTCCCCGGAGAGGACGTTTCGCCGTGGAGCCAGAGTGGAGACGCGGTGTGAGATTTCTGTCACCCGCTCGGCGTTCACCTTCTCGGCGTTCCCCTTCTCCTTCTCCAATCAGACGGAACCAGGGAAACGACCACGGGAGATCGACAGGCAGGTGCAGCGACTCCTGGCAGATGGGGTCATTGAGGAAAGTTGTAGCCCGTGGTCCTCTCCTGTGGTGCTTGTGAGGAAGAAGGACAACACATGGAGGTTTTGTGTGGACTACAGGGGTCTGAATGCGGTCACGGTGAGAGATTCACACCCATTGCCTCGGATAGATGACACATTAGATGCCTTGGCAGGGGCTACATGGTTCAGCACACTGGACTTTTCAGATGGATACTGGCAGGTGGAAGTAGCTGAGGAAGACCGTGAGAAAACAGCCTTTAACACCGGCCATGGTCTGTATCAGTTTCGGTCTATGCCCATGGGTCTCACTAATGCTCCGGCTACCTTCCAGAGATTCATGGAGCTGGTCTTGAAGGGGCTTCCCTGGCATATTTGTATGATTTATCTGGATGACATTCTGATTTTTAGCAGGTCGTTCAGTGAGCACGTTGCAGCCTTGGAGCAGATTCTTTCGAGGATTGGTGCGGCTGGCCTGCGGTTGAAGGCTAAGAAATGTCAAATGGCTCGTGACCATGTGGCGTTCCTGGGGCATGTTGTCTCGGCTGAGGGGCTGCGGCCCGACCCAAGGAACACATGTAAGGTGAGAGACTGGCCTATTCCTCGTTCTGCCACTGAAGTTCGTGCCTTCCTTGGTCTCTGCTCGTATTATAGGAGGTTTGTGAGAGGTTTTGCACAACATGCCTCCCCTCTCATCCATCTCACGGGAAAAAACGTACCATTTACCTGGTCAGAGGAATGCCAAGAGTCATTTGAGTTTCTGAGGGACGCTCTTTGTGCTGAACCGGTAATGTGCCATCCTGACTTTACACAACCTTTTGTGTTGTATACTGATGCTGTCGGATCGGTGCTTACGCAATTTGTTGAAGGACTGGAACGGGTTGTCGCTTATGCCAGTCATGCCCTTACGGGGGCAGAGCGGAAGTGGTCGACATACGATAGAGAGCTTTGGGCCATTGTGTGGTCCATCCGGAACTTTAGGCACTATTTAGGTCTTCGACATTTTACCATTGTGACTGATCACAAGCCACTGCTTGGTCTTAGGCAGCTTCCCGTTGACAATGATAGGACGGGTCGACGCTGTCGCTGGGCCCTGGAATTGGATCCGTATGACTGGATTATTGTCCATAAGAGTGGGGTCCAGCATACTAATGCCGACGCGTTGTCTCGCTGTCCTGTGTCCCAGATAATCATGGTGAGCTCTGAGACGCAGACTATGGATATGTCAACTTCGGTGGCTGTATGTGGGGTCGAAGCTTCTACGGAGGCTCCCCTAAGTGCTCAGGCATCGGATTCTTGTGAGCCCTCAGTACCCCCTGACGGGAGTGACCTACAAACCCTCTTTCAGGAAGGCTCCAACGTAAGGCGTCTGCAGCAAGAGGACCCAGATATTCGATCTCTGTTGGAGTGGCTTAGAGCGGGTGAGAGGCCGTCCTCAGTGAGGATTAAAGGGGCTGGTAAGGCTCTCCGTATTTTGTGGCACGAGTTTCCTCGCATGACCATGATTGACGGAATTGTGCACAGGGTTGTTGCCCTGTCTGATGTGGAACAGACATGGCAGGTTGTCGTACCATCGGTTCTGGTGCCGGAGGTCCTGCGTCTTCTTCATGGGGGGCCCTTGACTGGCCATTTGGCTGTGGAGCGGACCATGGCCCGTGCACGCGGGGTGTGCTTCTGGCCTTGTATGTATCGTGACATACGCACTTGGTGTGAGCAGTGTTATGCCTGTCAGAGGCGCAAGGCGCCTGTGCCTCACCATCGTGCTCCGATGCGGACGACGTTGGCACAGCGCCCGTTTCAGCGGGTTGCGGCAGACATATTGGAGTTGCCGGTCACGTCGAGAGGAAACCGCTATGTTCTGGTGGTGGAAGACTATTTCACCAAGTTCGTTAACATGTATGCTATTGCGGACCAGAGGGCTACTACCGTGGCAGAGTGTCTCTTTAACAATTTCATCTTGGAGCATGGTGTTATGGAGACCCTTCATATTGACATGGGGCGACAGTTTGAGTCAGACGTGGTTAGGCAGTTGTGTACATTGTTGGGTGTTAAAAAGACACATACCACGCCTTATAATCCTAAATCTGATGGCATGGTAGAGAGACTAAACAGAACGCTCATTGATCAGCTGGCCAAAATGCTACTTGCTTGTGAGGGTGAATGGGACTCGTTCTTATCTCAGGTTGCGTTTGCATACAATACTAGCGTTCATTCCAGTACAGGATTTACGCCCTATTTTCTTACTCATGGTAGGGAGGCTCGTGTTCCTGTGGATGTGTTTTTGGTTCCTATTATGCAGACTGGTCAGAGATATGACTCCATTGATGATTTTGTTTTTTCCCTTCGTAGACGTTTGGATGCTGCTTTTCGCCAGAGTCGCGATAACAGTGTGACTGCGAGTGACAAACAGAGGACCTTTTATGACACCAGAGAGAGACACAGGCCTTACGAAATTGGGGATTTAGTGTGGCTTCATGACCCAACTGAGAGCCGCCGTAAATTGGCCCCACACTAGAAGGGGCCTTACATTATTGAGCGGAGACAGGAGCGTTGCGACGTGGTTGGGGTTACATATGTGATTGGAAGTCCATTTGGGGAAGAAGCTCCCAAACAGACAATTCACTATGATCGACTACGTCCCTATTGTTTGCCGAGTCCTGTTCCTTTGGCTGGCCCACCGAGAAGTGCCGCTCTAAGTACACAGGGCCCTGTGACCTACGATGCACTCTCCTCACACGGTAAGCCTTCTGTGTCCACCCCTTCGCCAGTGAGGGAACAGGTGGACGGTGAATTTGTACCGGATGCGGCCCCTATTGGTCGTCAGGTGCAGGTGTCGCGTTCTGGACGACACAGTAAGGCGCCTGGACGTTATGCTGACTATGTTATGGGTTAAGGCTCTGATGTTGTGTAACAGGTTATGTATGTTATGCTTGTTATTGTTTTTTTGTTTTTTTTTTCCCTCTTCTTATGTTATTGTATTGAAATGGGGACATTTCATGTGTAAGGGGGGGATATTGTAAGCGTGTGCTGGAGTGCGCATGCGCAAAGAGTTGTGGAAAAACCTGAAATGTTTAAAAACTGGCCGGGAGAGTAACGGTCGTGTTGGGCTGTTCATGAATAAACGGAGTCTGGTTATTTTATTCTCCAAAGATACTTCTGCCTCTGCTTCCTACCTAGCTTGCCCGTTACAGTATCTCACAGAGAGAGAGACCAGGGAGGGAGACCAAAGAGATGAGAGACCATTTATGGACACTTTTATTTCTGTACTTGTCTTGTGCACATTGGGGACTTTTGTAAATGTATTCCAATGTGGTTTTACTTTCAAATGGCAAATACAAATGAATCTGAGACCAGAGAGAGACCAGAAAGAGACCAGAGAGAGACCAGACAGAGACCAGAGAGAGACCAGAGAGAGACCAGAGAGAGACCAGAGAGAGACCAGAGAGAGACCAGAGAGAGACCAGAGAGAGACCAGAGAGAGACCAGACAGAGACCAGAGAGAGACCAGAGAGAGACCAGAGAGAGACCAGAGAGAGACCAGAGAGAGACCAGAGAGAAACTAGAAAGAGAACAGAGAGAGATGAAGAAGAGTCATGATTAAATACAGATAACGGTTTCTTCAGGGAGCGCCCTCTGCTGGCGGCTCTCCCACACTACAACAACACCAAGTTCTCTCTGGTCCACATTTCTGCTCAATTCTTTCACAAAAATGTCTCTCACACTGCTCCCGGGGTTCACACGGCTGCTCCCGGGGCGTGCACTCCTTTCTGCGGGCTTCTGTTCGCGTTTGGCCGGTGTGGAGGTGCGACATGACCGGGAGAAGCAGCGGTTCAGCGTGAGGCCAGAGGGCGGACACGGTGAGCTGCTGCACCCGGGGACAGCGGGCGGAGGGCGGGGAGGCAACGCAGGAAACATCGCGGTCTGACGGAGGCCTGGTCCGAAGAGTTTAGAGCCGTGTTTTTGGTTTTATATCATTTTATCTTTAATCTAAAGGCCTGCGTTTTAAAAGAAGACGTAATTACTGCATTTAATGTCTCTCTCTGGTCTCTCTCTGGTCTCTCTCTGGTCTCTCTCTCTGGTCTCTCTCTGGTCTCTCTCTGGTCTCTCTCTGGTCTCTCTCTGGTCTCTCTCTGGTCTCTCTCTGGTCTCTCTCTCTGGTCTCTCTCTGGTCTCTCTCTGGTCTCTCTCTGGTCTCTCTCTCTGGTCTCTCTCTGGTGTCTCTCTGTCTCTCTCTGGTCTCTCTCTGGTCTCTCTCTCTGGTCTCTCTCTGGTCTCTCTCTGGTCTCTCTCTGGTCTCTCTCTCTGGTCTCTCTCTGGTCTCTCTCTGGTCTCTCTCTCTGGTCTCTCTCTGGTGTCTCTCTGTCTCTCTGGTCTCTCTCTCTGGTGTCTCTCTGGTGTCTCTCTGGTCTCTCTCTCTGGTCTCTCTCTGGTCTCTCTCTGGTCTCTCTCTGGTCTCTCTCTCTGGTCTCTCTCTGGTCTCTCTCTGGTCTCTCTCTGGTCTCTCTCTCTGGTCTCTCTCTGGTCTCTCTCTGGTCTCTCTCTGGTCTCTCTCTCTGGTCTCTCTCTGGTGTCTCTCTGTCTCTCTCTGGTCTCTCTCTGGTCTCTCTCTCTGGTCTCTCTCTGGTCTCTCTCTGGTCTCTCTCTGGTCTCTCTCTCTGGTCTCTCTCTGGTCTCTCTCTGGTCTCTCTCTCTGGTCTCTCTCTGGTGTCTCTCTGTCTCTCTGGTCTCTCTCTCTGGTCTCTCTCTCTGGTGTCTCTCTGGTGTCTCTCTGGTCTCTCTCTCCCTGGTCTCTCTCTCCAGTCTCTCTCTGGTCTCTCTCTGGTCTCTCTTGTTTCTCTCTGGTCTCTCTCTCTTACTTTTCTGATCCAAAGTTATGACAGAGTCCTAAAAGACAGTCATGTGAAAACTATTCTAGAGCCACGAACTAGACATACATTTTCTTGTTCCAGAATTTGTGGTTTCAATGGGCCTCATTCACGAACGGTTCTTAGGAACAGATTTGTACGTAAATCCTACTTACGCGGTTTTTACGAAGAAAGTGGCATTCACGAATATTTCTCGTAACCAGAATTTCTCTTGGGCAAGTACAAATCCTACGAGTCCTCAGGAGCACTCGTACGCATTCAGTGCCGACATGTTCACACGCGGGGGTTGACCGCGGTAAAGTGGCCCGCATCTTTCAGCTCTATGAACATGCGGGCCGCATCGGGGAAAAGACGGTGCGCGTTTGTTGAGAACTTACGGTAACAGCGGAACGTCCTTTCGGAGTCACCCATTTTTATCGAACAGAAAGCGCGCTGGGGTCTGGGAGACACGTTTTTGTGATTAAAACCTTATAGAGATGCCACCCGGTACACATAGCACCAGCCCCCTACGATTCCTCCGGCAGATTGTGAGTCCTCAGGAGGATAGCCACTCTATTGTTTACATATATAAAGTACACAATTTGGTCCGCTAGTGCAATTTTCAAGTATTGTAACTATTTACTGGAATAAGGTGTGCGACTAATTTCACTTGACTCATGACCTTATTATTGCCCTCTACCACTGTACCAAAGACCAGAAACTTTTACTGTAGAAATATTGAGAAATATTGAGGTAAAGTAGCCATTTTGGTCCAAAATACCTCCAAAATAGTCAAAACATGTCACTTTTGATCTACTGTAACTTTTTAATGTAAAAAGGTGTGCGACTAATTTCACTGGATTCATGACCTCATGATTGCCCTCTACCACTGTACCAAAGACCAGAAACTTTTACTGTAGAAATTTGGAGAAATATGGAGTTAAAGTAGCCATTTTGGTCCAAAATAGCCTAAAAATGGTCAAAACATGTCACTTTTGATCTACTGTAACTTTTTACTGTAAAAAGGTGTGCGACTAATTTCACTGGATTCATGACCTCAACATTGCCATCATGAATCCAGTGAAATTAGTCGCACACCTTTTTACAGTAATAAGTTACAGTAGATCAAAAGTGACATGTTTTGACTATTTTGGAGGTATTTTGGACCAAAATGGCTACTTTAAATCAATATTTCTCAATATTTCTACAGTAAAAGTGTCTGGTCTTTGGTACAGTGGTAGAGGGCAATGTTGAGGTCATGAATCCAGTGAAATTAGTCGCACACCTTTTTACAGTAAGAAGATACAGTATATCAAAAGTGACATGTTTTGACCATTTTTAGGCTATTTTGGACCAAAATGACTACTTTAAATCAATATTTCTCAATATTTCTACAGTAAAAGTGTCTGGTCTTTGGTACAGTGGTAGAGGGCAATGTTGAGGTCATGAATCCAGTAAAATTAGTCGCACACCTTTTTACAGTAAGAAGATACAGTAGATCAAAAGTGACATGTTTTGACTATTTGAGGTATTTTGGACCAAAATGGCTACTTTACCTCAATATTTCTCAATATTTCTACAGTAAAAGTTCCTGGTCTTTGGTACAGTGGTAGAGGGCAATCATGAGGTCATGAATCCAGTGAAATCAGTCGCACACCTTTTTACAGTAAAAAGTTGCAGTAGATCAAAAGTGACATGTTTTGACTATTTTGGAGGTATTTTGGACCAAAATGGCTAGTTTAAATCAATATTTCTCAATATTTCTACAGTAAAAGTGTCTGGTCTTTGGTACAGTGGTAGAGGGCAATGTTGAGGTCATGAATCCAGTGAAATTAGTCGCACACCTTTTTACAGTAAGAAGATACAGTAGATCAAAAGTGACATGTTTTGACTATTTGAGGTATTTTGGACCAAAATGGCTACTTTACCTCAATATTTCTCAATATTTCTACAGTAAAAGTTCCTGGTCTTTGGTACAGTGGTAGAGGGCAATCATGAGGTCATGAATCCAGTGAAATCAGTCGCACACCTTTTTACAGTAAAAAGTTGCAGTAGATCAAAAGTGACATGTTTTGACTATTTTGGAGGTATTTTGGACCGAAATGGCTTCTTTAACTCTATATTTCTCCATATTTCTACAGTAAAAGTTCCTGTTCTTTGGTACAGTGGTAGAGGGCAATCATGAGGTCATGAATCCAGTGAAATTAGTCGCACACCTTTTTACAGTAATAAGTTACAGTAGATCAAAAGTGACATGTTTTGACTATTTTGGAGGTATTTTGGACCAAAATGGCTAGTTTAAATCAATATTTCTCAATATTTCTACAGTAAAAGTGTCTGGTCTTTGGTACAGTGGTAGAGGGCAATGTTGAGGTCATGAATCCAGTGAAATTAGTCGCACACCTTTTTACAGTAAGAAGATACAGTAGATCAAAAGTGACATGTTTTGACTATTTGAGGTATTTTGGACCAAAATGGCTACTTTACCTCAATATTTCTCAATATTTCTACAGTAAAAGTTCCTGGTCTTTGGTACAGTGGTAGAGGGCAATCATGAGGTCATTAATCCAGTGAAATCAGTCGCACACCTTTTTACAGTAAAAAGTTGCAGTAGATCAAAAGTGACATGTTTTGACTATTTTGGAGGTATTTTGGACCGAAATGGCTTCTTTAACTCCATATTTCTCCATATTTCTACAGTAAAAGTTCCTGTTCTTTGGTACAGTGGTAGAGGGCAATCATGAGGTCATGAATCCAGTGAAATTAGTCGCACACCTTTTTACAGTAATAAGTTACAGTAGATCAAAAGTGACATGTTTTGACTATTTTGGAGGTATTTTGGACCAAAATGGCTAGTTTAAATCAATATTTCTCAATATTTCTACAGTAAAAGTGTCTGGTCTTTGGTACAGTGGTAGAGGGCAATGTTGAGGTCATGAATCCAGTGAAATTAGTCGCACACCTTTTTACAGTAAGAAGATACAGTAGATCAAACGTGACATGTTTTGACTATTTTGGAGGTATTTTGGACCAAAATGGCTACTTTAAATCAATATTTCTCAATATTTCTACAGTAAAAACGTCTGGTCTTTGGTACAGTGGTAGAAGGCAATGTTGAGGTCATGAATCCAGTGAAATTAGTCGCACACCTTTTTACAGTAAGAAGATACAGTAGATCAAAAGTGACATGTTTTGACCATTTTTAGGCTATTTTGGACCAAAATGGCTACTTTAACTCCATATTTCTCCATATTTCTACAGTAAAAGTTCCTGTTCTTTGGTACAGTGGTAGAGGGCAATCATGAGGTCATGAATCCAGTGAAATTAGTCGCACACCTTTTTACAGTAATAAGTTACAGTAGATCAAAAGTGACATGTTTTGACTATTTTGGAGGTATTTTGGACCAAAATGGCTACTTTAAATCAATATTTCTCAATATTTCTACAGTAAAAGTGTCTGGTCTTTGGTACAGTGGTAGAGGGCAATGTTGAGGTCATGAATCCAGTGAAATTAGTCGCACACCTTTTTACAGTAAGAAGATACAGTAGATCAAAAGTGACATGTTTTGACCATTTTTAGGCTATTTTGGACCAAAATGGCTACTTTAACTCCATATTTCTCCATATTTCTACAGTAAAAGTTCCTGTTCTTTGGTACAGTGGTAGAGGGCAATCATGAGGTCATGAATCCAGTGAAATTAGTCGCACACCTTTTTACAGTAATAAGTTACAGTAGATCAAAAGTGACATGTTTTGACAATTTTTAGGCTATTTTGGACCAAAATGACTACTTTAAATCAATATTTCTACAGTAAAAGTGTCTGGTCTTTGGTACAGTGGTAGAGGGCAATGTTGAGGTCATGAATCCAGTGAAATTAGTCGCACACCTTTTTACAGTAAGAAGATACAGTAGATCAAAAGTGACATGTTTTGACTATTTGAGGTATTTTGGACCAAAATGGCTACTTTACCTCAATATTTCTCAATATTTCTACAGTAAAAGTTCCTGGTCTTTGGTACAGTGGTAGAGGGCAATCATGAGGTCATGAATCCAGTGAAATCAGTCGCACACCTTTTTACAGTAAAAAGTTGCAGTAGATCAAAAGTGACATGTTTTGACTATTTTGGAGGTATTTTGGACCGAAATGGCTTCTTTAAATCAATATTTCTCAATATTTCTACAGTAAAAGTTCCTGGTCTTTGGTACAGTGGTAGAGGGCAATGTTGAGGTCATGAATCCTGTGAAATTAGTCTCACACCTTTTTACAGTAAAAAAGTTACAGTAGATCAAAGGTGGGAATTTTCTTAGTTTTGTGTATTTTGGACTAAAACCTGTAATTTGTCTCAATTTTACCCACAATTTCCAAAGTAAAGGTTTGTGGTTGTAGGCACAGCGGTGAAGGCAGTGGTGAGGTCATACACCCAGTGGAATAAGATACTCAAGTCTTTACTGTAAAAATGGACAGCAGCTGAAAATTTCACTTTTTGACCAAATTAAATGTCGAACATTTTAAGTTTTTACATGCTTTTCCAAATAAGGGTTTATTCACAAAACGAGTCTCCTAAGCGCGCTTTCTGTTCGAGGAGAAAAGCTGACTGCGAAAGGCTGTTCTGCTATTACCGTAAGCAGTCAACAAAACGCGCACTGCTTTTCTCTCGATGCGGGCCGTTTTACTTCGGAGGTGAAAGATGCGGCCCACTTTACCGCGGTCGGGGTTGTCCTCTTTGGTGAAGTTGAATAAAAATACAACATTCCAGTGATATGTCCGTCATATCGATGTATGTATTTATTTATTTGTAGTAATCTTTATTAGTAATCTTTATTTATATACCGCCTTTTTCACTGCAGATCTGGCCTACTTTTTAATTCATTTTGAAATGAAATGTGCCAACGCTTTATCAAATACATTGGAAATCTTGCCGTGTATTAGTGACCCCTTCCTATTTATAGGGGGCATTTCTTTATCCACGGGCCACAGAACAACGGCATATATACTGCTGCTCCAGGAGGTTACTGGGTCCGCGCTGAGTCTCTGCGCTAGTCTCTCCCATGGATCTATACGGGTCTGCGCTGGTCTCTCCCATGGATCTATACGGGTCTGCGCTGGTCTCTCCCATGGATCTATACGGGTCTGCACTGGTCTCTCCCATGGATCTATACGGGTCTGCGCTGGTCTCTCCCATGGATCTATACGGGTCTGCGCTGGTCTCTCCTATGGATCTATACGGGTCTGCACTGGTCTCTCCCATGGATAGACGGGTCTGCACTGGTCTCTCCCGTGGATAGACGGGTCTGCGCTGGTCTCTCCCATGGATCTATACTGGTCTGCACTGGTCTCTCCCATGGATCTAGACGGGTCTGCACTGGTCTCTCCCATATACGGGTCTGCACTGGTCTCTCCATACGGGTGCTCCTGCATGCTCCTGGATCCATACGGGTCCGCGCTGGTCTCTCAAGTCTGGTCTATGCGGTCTATCTTCGGTCCGCGCTGGTCTCTGCGCACCGGTCTCTCCAGTCAGGTGTCTCCAGTCTATGCGGTCTCTCCTATAGGTCCGCGCTGGTTTCTGTTTGCTGGTCACTCCAGTCTCTCCTCGGGTCTGCATTGGTCTCAGCGCTGGTCCGCGCTGGATCTCCTCCCAGGGTCCAAAATATTTTGAGATTAATCTCAAAACATTTTGAGATTCATCTTTAAAATAATACATAATATATTTTTAAATTAAGCTCATAACATTTTGAGATTAATCTCATCATATTCTTAGATTAATCTCATAATTTTGCTAGTTCGACTTTATTATCATAATATTTCGACTTTTAAGTCAACATTTTATAACTTTATTCTCAGTCTGGTAAAAGAAGAAAAAAGGGTGACTCTTTTGCTCCGTGGCCTGTTGCTTTAGGCCTGTTGCTGTTTCCTCTGCCGTCTGCACACGGCCCTGCAGTCCCTTATATGGGCATTAGTGGGCGGTTACTTATGCTAAGTACCTATGCTAATGAAGCACCTGGCACGCGCGCTGTACTTACGAGGAAATTGGATTCATCAATCTGAGAGAACAGCTGCGAACAATTCAGCGCCTTACGAGTGCGTTGATGAATCCCACGTGGGGACTTCTTAGAAATCTACTTAAGGACAACTTGAGAAGAAAGTTGAGTAGTTTCTTACGAAGTTATTCGTGAATGAGGCCCAATGTTCCTTCCCCCAGCTCTAACATAAGTGTGTATCATCTCTCCCTCTCTCCCTCTCTCCTCTCTCTCCCTCCTCTCGCTCTCTCTCCCCCTCTCTCGCTTCCTCTGCTTCTCCCTCTCCTCTCTCTCCCTCTCTCCTCTCTCCCCCTCTCCTCTCTCCCTCTCTCCCCCTCTCCTCTCTCCCTCTCTCCTCTCTCCCCCTCTCCTCTCTCCCTCTCTCTCCCTCTCTCTCCCTCTCTCTCCCTCTCTCTGCAGAGGAGGAGGCCGTGCTCTCCTACAGGTTCACCTCAGAGCAGGAGGTGGAGCTCATGTCCACGTTTGTCCCAGAGTCTTTCAGAGGGAGAGGACTGGCTGCGGTCCTGTCCCAGGTGAGAACTCATGGGTCTCTCTCTGGTCTCTCTCTCTGGTCTCTCTCTCTGGTCTCTCTCTCTGGTCTCTCTCTGGTCTCTCTCTGGTCTCTCTCTGGTCTCTCTCTGGTCTCTCTCTCTGGTCTGCCTCTGGTCTCTCTCTGGTCTCTCTCTCTGGTCTCTCTCTGGTCTCTCTCTGGTCTCTCTCTCTGGTCTGCCTCTGGTCTCTCTCTGGTCTCTCTCTCTAGTCTCCCTCTGGTCTTAACCATGTGATCTCGTGTTACAGGCCGCCCTAGACTTTGTTCTGGAGCAGAAGCTGACGGCGAGAGTCTCTTGTTGGTACATCCACAAATATCTGAAGGAAAACCCAGAAAAATACACAGAGATCATCCTCCCCTAAGAGAGACCAGAGGGAGACCAGAGAGAGACCAGAGGGAGACCAGAGAGAGACCAGAGGGAGACCAGAGAGAGACCAGAGGGAGACCAGAGGAGGACCAGAGGGAGACCAGAGGGAGACCAGAGAGAGACCAGAGAGAGACCAGAGAGAGACCAGAGAGAGACCAGAGAGAGACCAGAGAGAGACCAGAGAGAGACCATGAGGGACCAGAGAGAGACCAGAGGGAGACCAGAGGGAGACCAGAGGGAGACCAGAGGGAGACCAGAGGGAGACCAGAGGGAGATCAGAGGGAGACCAGAGAGAGACCAGAGAGAGACCTGAGGGAGACCAGCGAGAGACCAGAGGGAGACCAGAGAGAGACCAGAGAGAGACCAGAGAGAGACCAGAGGGAGACCAGAGGGAGACCAGAGACCATACCTGACCTCAGACATAAATGCAAAGTAGTATAAAGGACTTAATAATGTGCGTTGACCATTTCTCAGGATCCATGTTTGTTGTGAAGACACTGCCCTCTAGTGGCAGCAGAGGGAGTCGAGAAAACTGTGAAAAAAGCAAGAAGAGCCGCTCTGCCCGAGCTTAGACCCAGACTAAAAATTCTAAAGCAGATTCTGTGTCCTTTTAATTCATTTAAAATCATGGAAATGTAATATTATTTAATGAGCTTCACTTTATGCAGTGATTGTTTCTGTGATTATTCCACATTGGAACATTTTATAATAAATGTATTTTCAATTAATTTCAATGTATTTGTGTCTCGCCCTAAAACACAACAGCAGTCGTCTCTGAGACCGAGGCTGTAGACCCAGGACTGAGGCTGTAGACCCAGGACTGAGGCTCTAGACCCAGGATTGAGGCTGTAGACCCAGGACTGAGGCTGTAGACCCAGGACTGAGGCTGTAGACTCAGGACTGAGGCTGTAGACTCAGGACTGAGGCTGTAGACCCAGGACTGAGGCTGTAGACCCAGGACTGAGGCTGTAGACTCAGGACCGAGGCTGTAGACCCAGGACTGAGGCTGTAGACTCAGGACCGAGGCTGTAGACCCAGGACTGAGGCTGTAGACCCAGGACTGAGGCTGTATCCAAAACCACACAGGGTCGTTACATAATGTTCAGTATAAATCTGTAAAGGTGCAGGTTAATCAGGCCGTGGTTGAGTGGCACAGATGGCCACAACAACAACAGAAGAATTAAACCAAGACTAATCTCAAACATCCACGGCCTGACTTCAAAAACGTGACATCACTCAGAAAAAACTAGGATTTGGGACTTTTGCCCTTTTGTTGACCAGGATTTACAGTCAGTGGCTTTACCAGGAAATCAAACTGGATACAATAATTATTATTATTCAATCATAGCCTGTGTATAGATGGACAATACTAACTCGTTCAATGCTCTGGTCTCTCTCTGGTCTCTCTCTGATCCCTCTCTGGTCTCCTTCTGGTCTCTCTCTGGTCTCTCTCTGGTCTCTGGTCTCTTTCTGGTCTCTCTCTGGTCTCTCTCTGGTCTCTCTCTAGTCTCTCTCTGGTCTCTCTCTGGTCTCTCTCTGGTCTCTCTCTGGTCTCTCTCTGGTCTCTCTCTGGTCTCTCTCTAGTCTCTCTCTGGTCTCTCTCTGGTCTCTCTCTGGTCTCTCTCTGGTCTCTTTCTGGTCTCTCTCTGGTCTCTCTGGTCTCTGGTCTCTTTCTGGTCTCTGCTCTTTCTAGTCTCTGGTCTCTTTCTGGTCTCTCTGGTCTGCACTGGCCTCTTGTCTACACCTGTTTGGCAATAGTTTTAATTCTTTAAACTTTAATCAGAGGAAAACTTCTTTAATAGACAATATGTGTTAAAGTTTCACAGCATTTGACATTTAACTGATGCTGTTTTAATGAAACTTGAAGGCAGAGAAACAACACGTGACAGCAGCACACTACAGAAGACAGAGAAGAAGAGGAGCACAGGGACTGGCCTCCTGCTGGGACTCTGAGGAGCACAGGGACTGGCCTCCTGCTGGGACTCTGAGGAGCACAGGGACTGGCCTCCTGCTGGGACTCTGAGGAGCACAGGGACTGGCCTCCTGCTGGGACTCTGAGGAGCACAGGGACTGGCCTCCTGCTGGGACTCTGAGGAGCATAGGGACTGGCCTCCTGCTGGTCCCAGAGTCAGGACTAAACACGAGGAGGCAGCGTTTCAGATTCAGCTAATATCTGGAACAGTCTTCTGGGAAATGTGAGACAGACTTCTTCTCTGACACTGTTCAAATCCAGATTACAATAATTCTGTTTCTGTAACAACTGAGGGATTTTATCTTTAATCTTTTTCGATAAACAGTGATTATTTATGATTTTCATGTTTTTATTTTGGACACGATTCATAATGACTTTGATCATAAACAGTTTCTCATTTGTCTGAAATGACCTTCAGCTCTAAGAGGATTCCAGCCTAATGCCTCTGAGTCTGAGAGACCAGAGAGAGACCAGAGAGAGAGACCAGAGAGAGACCAGAGAAGAATCAGAGAGAGACCAGCGAGAGAGACCAGAGAGAGACCAGAGAGAGACCAGAGAGAGAGACCAGAGGGACCAGAGAGACCAGAGAGAGACCAGAGAGAGACTAGAGAGGAATCAGAGGGACCAGAGAGGGACCAGAGAGAGACCAGAGAGAGACCAGAGAGAGACCAGAGAGAGAGACCAGAGGGACCAGAGGGACCAGAGAGGGACCAGAGAGAGACCAGAGAGAGACCAGCGACAGAGACAGACCAGGGAGAGACCAGAAATAGAAAAGAGAGCGACCAGTAGCTCAGACTGGTTTACACACATATAAACGTTGATGGTGGTAGTTTTTGTGTTAGTCTGGTGTGTGACATCACAGTCAGTTTTTCTTCTCTCTCAGTTTGTCCTTGATCTTCTGCGGCTCGTCGTACTGAATCAGGCGCAGGATCTCTTTGTTGTCCATCACTCCCTGAATGAACTCTCCCTCCGAGATTTTATCTGCGAGACAAAAGAGAGAGCACAGTTAGACCAGAGAAAAACCACAAAGAGACCAAAGAGAGAGCAGGGAGACCAGAGAGAAACCACAGAGAGACCAAAGAGAGAGCACAGTGAGACCAGAGAGAAACCACAGAGAGACCAAAGAGAGAGCAGGGAGACCAGAGAGAAACCACAGAGAGACCAAAGAGAGAGCACAGTGAGACCAGAGAGAAACCACAGAGAGACCAAAGAGAGAGCGGAGTGAGACCAGAGAGAAACCACAGAGAGACCAAAGAGAGAGCAGAGAGAGACCAGAGAGAAACCACAGAGAGACCAAAGAGAGAGCGGAGTGAGACCAGAGAGAAACCACAGAGAGACCAAAGAGAGAGCGGAGTGAGACCAGAGAGAAACCACAGAGAGACCAAAGAGAGAGCAGAGAAAGAAACCAGAGAGACCAGGTGAGAGAAACCACAAAGAGACCAGAGAGAGAGCAGAGAGACCAGGTGAGAGAAGCCACAGAGAGACCAAAGAGAGAGCAGAGAAAGAAACCAGAGAGAGATCAGGTGAGAGAAACCACAAAGAGAGCAAAGAGAGACCAGAGAGAGACCAGAAAGAGACTAATCTTATATAAATCCAGGACTTATACTGCATTTAGTCTCGGTCATTTCCAAAGATGAACTTGGATCTGTGTGGCTGGTAGCTCCCTCTGGTGGCAGCACGGGGAGGTGCAGGAAACATGTTTGTATCATTACCATTGTCCTTTTTGCCAAAGTAGGTCCAGATCTTCTCCGCTCTCTTCTCTGGGCTGTTCTCGTCCTCAGGAAGACTCTTCTGGTCCTCCTCTGGGATCATGTTGAAGATCGACTAGAAACATACGGAGGAAAGAGTTTTACAAAGAAACAGACGAAACATTAGCTCTGTTTCTACCGACTCTCCACAGAAGGGATGGTGTGAAAGAGTGGGGTGAGGGGGAGACCAGAGAGAGACCAGAGAGAGGGAGAGACCAGAGAGAGACCAGAGAGAGACCAGAGAGAGGGACAGACCAGAGAGAGACCAGAGAGAGACCAGAGAGAGACCAGAGAGAAGGAGAGACCAGAGAGAGACCAGAGAGAGACCAGAGAGAGGGAGAGACGTGAGAGAGACCAGAGAGAGACCAGAGAGAGGGAGAGACCAGAGAGAGGGAGAGACCAGAGAGAGACCAGAGAGAGACCAAAGAGAGACCAGAGAGAGACCAGAGAGAGACCAGGGAGAGACCAGAGAGAGGGAGAGACCAGAGAGAGACCAGAGAGAGGGAGAGACCAGAGAGAGACCAGAGAGAGGGAGAGACCAGGGAGAGACCAGAGACAGACCAGGGAGAGACCAGAGAGAGACCAGGGAGAGACCAGAGAGAGACCAGAGAGACCGGAGAGAGAGAGAGAGCGTCTTTCCTCCAGACGTCTGGTGCAGCGCCACGATGTAGTCCTTAAAAATGCTATACCCGGTTTTCTTTATAAAATGAGTTCTTAAAAATGCTTATTACTACATACAAGTTGTATTATAATCCGTAATTTAATGTAAAACTTGAGCTCATTGATTCAGCTGTTTATGAATTCAGGTCGTAAAAAGTGCTGAGTAGAGACTTAGCGTGACGCCCGGCGAAACCACACAACAGTGAGGAAGAGAAGAGGGAACTGAAGCCAAAACATGATCAAAGAAGAAACCAAGCCCTGAACAGAGCTAGCTTACATCGTATCCTCCGGAGGGACTGGTCTATGGGAGAGACCTGCGGGACCGCCTCGGACTATCTGTGCTCGGACTATCTACGCTCGGACTATCTACGCTCGGACTGTCTACGCTCGGACTGTCTACGCTCGGACTGTCTACGCGTTGCTTTTGTACCATTTCATCAGTGAATGTTGTAAAGCTTACAAGAAGTTGCGCTCATGCTAATGTTAGCAAATAGCAAATAGATCGTGGGATGAGAGCGTAGGGGAAATGAGAAGCCCGTGAGTGAGTTGAGGGCGGGGCTAAACGTTCAGAAACGGGTATGGCTCCTTTAAAGTCCAGCGTCCCGTCAGCGTTGGTGTGGAAGCTGCTGAACAAGTGGCGAGAAAGAACCAAAGAGAGATCAGGTAGAGACACGAGAGAGAGAGAGACCTGAGAGACCAGAGAGAGACCAGAGAGAGGCCAGACAGAGACTAGGGAGATACCAGAGAAAGGTCACAGAGGCCAGAAAGAGAGACAAGACAGAGAACAGAGAGAGAGACCAGAGAGAGTGACCAGAGAGAGACTATAAGGTAAGGCCTAGAGAGACTGCTCTGGTAGCCAGTAGCAGAGAAACCCTGGTTCTCACCCGGACAATCTCCTGGATCTCGCTCTTGCTGATGGTTCCGTTCCCGTCCACGTCGTACAGAGCGAAGGCCCATTCCAGCTTCTGCAGCGTCTTTCCTCCAGACGTCAGGTGCAGCGCCACAATGTACTCCTTAAAGTCCAGCGTCCCGTCAGCGTTAGTGTCAAAGCTGCGGAACACGTGGCGAGCGTACGCCGTGGGGTCGGCGTTGGGGAAGAAGCTGGCGTAGATGCCTTCAAACTGCTGCTTGCTGATCTTGCCTCCAGGACACTCCTTCAGGAACGACTGGTACCATGTGACCAGCTCGGCCTCTGAGTACTTGGTGTTGGACTTGAGCTCCTCCAGAAGCTCCTTGGAGAGGGCGCTGCTCTTGGTGTTCCCCATTCTGAGGTTTGGAAAGACCAGGAGGAGCCGTGTGTGTGAGGAGCCGAGTGTGAGTGTGAGGAGCTGCTCTGGTCCAGTGTGATTAAAGAGATCGGTGTCGGCTGTTATTGAGCTGCGGGAGGTTTAAGAGGATCCACACGTCACAGACATGGAGCTGAGGAGGATTAGACAGGTGCTGGTCCCAAACCCACTACAGAGAAGACTCATGAGAGAGACCAGAGAGAGACTAGGGAGAGACCAGAGAGACCAGAGAGAGACCAGAAAGGTCCAAACTCTCACAACTGAGAATTGATCCTGAAGCAGCAGTAGTGTGTACATTAGCGGGGCCAAGACACAGCCTTGAGGAACACCATGTCTACTACATTAATAATTATGATGCATCGGTTTATTGTAGCGCTTTTTTGGACTCTCAAAGTCTCTTCACATCATTTTTCTGACAAAAATGAGCCAACCAGTCTCTATTATCGACCTCCCACCACCACCACCACCACCAACCATTCACACACACACCAGACTCATTCTATTGCGGGGGAAGTGTCTTGCCTAAGAACGCAACCACAGTGAAGGGTTTACAGCCGCAGCCGTCCCACTGTGGCACCTGCTGTTCTCAGAGGTCTCCCATCACAGTACTAACCAGGCCCTGCCCTGCTTAGCTTCAAAGGTCACATCTACTGTTTTACATCAACTATTTTATTACGTACTAGAGTCTACAATAGTTTCCTGAACAAAAACAATCCAGACACATGTTTTTATCACAGCAGAAAGTGAAAGTGAAAGTGAACAGGTCATGAAGATGAAGTCATCTTATTCAATTTAATGTATTTATGTTTTTCCCTAAAAGATTTTACAAAGTTCTGGAGACAAAAACCACCGGTGTTTGGAGTAACGCGATACAAACGTACTGTACTGTATTCTTCCACAGAATCGCAGTATGAGACATACAAACCTGGTCACTGTGACTCAGTTCAAAGGTCGGGAACGATACATTGTATTTTACCATAAATTAAATAGTGTTTTATTTGTATCTTCTGCATCACGAGATCAGCAGGAGACACATCTCACTTAGTATTTGTATAAGTGTTCTTTCTGGTAGAAGACGGCTGAGGCTGAAGCAGAAGTGTTGTTCATATAATCATAAGCTCCATTTACAGTAGTTTGTATTTACAGTACAGACCAAAGGTTTGGACACCCTCTCTCCTTCATGAGTTTCTTTTCATGACTATTGACTGTAGATCCACACCAGGCTGTGTAATGGTGCTTTCAGACCGGATCATGCGTTGCGTCGGCTTTCAATGCAAAGTGTATGGTGACGAGCGTTCGAGCGTCACAACGCAAGGACCTCTCGCACGGACTATTCAATAATGACGCACGGACTTGGTGGGAAAGTGAAAAGGGAGGAGCAGGAGCAAAAAATCAACGCCCACAGGAGATGGATTCTGCTCATCCTTTCCTTGGGACGTTCGTGCGACAACCAATCAGAGAGCAGCAAAGTGGTCACGGGGACATTAGCGGACTGAGCGAGCCGACTGAAAATACTCATAAACAGCCAAAACAGGACCCACACCAGGCTTCACCAGAACTCAAACCAGGGTTGACAATGGGGGAAATACCGTTTAATAATATGAAAACACGCATGGCGCACCTCCGTGAACACATACTGCTGTTATATAAAGTCACCGTGAACACATACTGCTGTTATATAAAGTCCTCTCCGTGAACACATACTGCTGTTATATAAAGTCACCGTGAACACATACTGCTGTTATATAAAGTCCTCTCCGTGAACACATACTGCTGTTATATAAAGTCACCTCCGTGAACACATACTGCTGTTATATAAAGTCCTCTCCGTGAACACATACTGCTGTTATATAAAGTCACCTCCGTGAACACATACTGCTGTTATATAAAGTCACCGTGAACACATACTGCTGTTATATAAAGTCACCGTGAACACATACTGCTGTTATATAAAGTCACCTCCGTAAACACATACTGCTGTTATATAAAGTCCTCTCCATGAACACATACTGCTGTTATATAAAGTCACCGTGAACACATACTGCTGTTATATAAAGTCACATCCGTGAACACATACTGCTGTTATATAAAGTCCTCTCCGTGAACACATACTGCTGTTATATAAAGTCACCGTGAACACATACTGCTGTTATATAAAGTCACCTCCGTGAACACATACTGCTGTTATATAAAGTCACCTCCGTGAACACATACTGCTGTTATATAAAGTCCTCTCCGTGAACACATACTGCTGTTATATAAAGTCACCTCCGTGAACACATACTGCTGTTATATAAAGTCACCGTGAACACATACTGCTGTTATATAAAGTCCTCTCTGTGAACACATACTGCTGTTATATAAAGTCACCTCCGTGAACACATACTGCTGTTATATAAAGTCACCTCCCTGAACACATACTGCTGTTATATAAAGTCCTCTCCGTGAACACATACTGCTGTTATATAAAGTCACCTCCATGAACACATACTGCTGTTATATAAAGTCCTCTCCGTGAACACATACTGCTGTTATATAAAGTCACCTCCGTGAACACATACTGCTGTTATATAAAGTCACCGTGAACACATACTGCTGTTATATAAAGTCACCGTGAACACATACTGCTGTTATATAAAGTCACCTCCGTAAACACATACTGCTGTTATATAAAGTCACCGTGAACACATACTGCTGTTATATAAAGTCACCGTGAACACATACTGCTGTTATATAAAGTCACCTCCGTGAACACATACTGCTGTTATATAAAGTCACCGTGAACACATACTGCTGTTATATAAAGTCACCTCCGTGAACACATACTGCTGTTATATAAAGTCACCTCCGTGTGAACACATACTACTGTTATATAAAGTCACCGTGAACACATACTGCTGTTATATAAAGTCCTCTCCGTGAACACATACTGCTGTTATATAAAGTCACCTCCGTGAACACATACTGCTGTTATATAAAGTCACCTCCGTGAACACATACCGCTGTTATATAATGTCACCTCCGTGAACACATACTGCTGTTATATAAAGTCACCTCCGTGAACACATACTGCTGTAATATAAAGTCACCTCCGTGAACACATACTGCTGTTATATAAAGTCACCTCCGTGAACACATACTGCTGTTATATAAAGCCTGTGGAAGGTCTCTGGGCAAAGACACGCTGCAAAACTGCATATTGGAGAAGATCTGTACACAAGAAACCGTTAGCATAGCTCTGTTAGCATCAGGGCCGGCCGGCTACTTCCGACACTTCCGGCTCGCGTCAGGACATCTCAGTGTAAAGACCTCTGCGTCTGAAAACTAGAGAATGCGCGTCTGGTGAGCGGGGCTTCAGCGTTTCAGCAGTGGCGGTCTGAAAGCACCATAAGGGCTGTTTGACCAATTTGGAGATGACCTCCACAGTCACCGGACCTGATCCCAGTCCAGATGGTTTAGGACCTGATCCCAATCCAGATGGTTTAGGACATCATGGGAACTCCTTCAAGACTGTTGGGGACCATTTCAGGTCCTCTTGAAGCTCATCCAGAGAAAGCCAAGAGTGAAGCAGTATCAGAGCAAAAGGTGCTACTTTGAAGAACCAGAATTTAACACATATTTTCAGTTGCTTCAAACTTTTTTTTTTAGTCCGTACATAATTCCACATGAGTTCATTCATAGTTTTGATGCCTTCAATGAGAATCTACAATTTTCAAAATCATGAAAATAAAGAAAACTCTTCTAATGAGAAGGGGTGTCCAAACTTCTGGTCTGTACTGTATTTATTTGGGGAAAGTAATGAAGTAGCTTTTAACGCTTTACAAGTCAGAGACAGTAATATTTTAGTAACACATTACTTTGAAACAACATTAACAAGTAACACGTACAGAGACCAGAGAGAGACCAGAGAGAGACCAGAGAGAGACCAGAGAGAGGCCAGAGAGAGACCAGAGAGAGAGACCAGAGAGAGAGACCAGAGAGAGACCAGAGAGAGGCCAGAGAGAGACCAGAGAGAGAGACCAGAGAGAGGCCAGAGAGAGACCAGAGAGAGGCCAGAGAGAGACCAGAGAGAGGCCAGAGAGAGACCAGAGAGAGAGACCAGAGAGAGACCAGAGAGAGGCCAGAGAGAGACCAGAGAGAGGCCAGAGAGAGACCAGAGAGAGGCCAGAGAGAGACCAGAGAGAGAGACCAGAGAGAGGCCAGAGAGAGACCAGAGAGAGGCCAGAGAGAGACCAGAGAGAGAGACCAGAGAGAGACCAGAGAGAGGCCAGAGAGAGACCAGAGAGAGGCCAGAGAGAGACCAGAGAGAGGCCAGAGAGAGACCAGAGAGAGGCCAGAGAGAGACCAGAGAGAGACCAGAGAGAGACCAGAGGGAGACCAGAGAGAGACCAGAGAGAGACAAGAGGGAAAACAGAGAGAGAGACCAGAGAGTCTCTCTCTGTGAGAAACCTCGGCAAGACTCTCTCTGGTCCCTCTCTGGCCTCTCTCTGGGCAGAGTTTTTGTCTAATCATTAAAATCCTCAAAACTCTAATCTGTGATCACAGATTAATGTTGTACCTTTTACATAACTGTATTAAAGTCATAATAAAGAGAATGAAGAGAACATGCAGGTTCCTGGTATAATTTGTCCAAAGCAAATAGGTTGATGGTATTATGATGTAAGCTTACATTGGGGGTGGTGTGGCAGGGGCAGAGCAGCCGGACCAGGACCACCACCAAAGACACGCTCCAACCACAGTAATCGGATTGAGCTGCTGCAGAGGACATGGGATGTTTCTGAGAATGGTTCAGGTGACGGAGTTTGGATAAATGTAGGACTCAGATTACTCTGAGGCCTTTTCTCTCATGCGGCAGAAACAGGGAGAACATACAGATGTCCAAACTCAGGCCCGCGGGCCTTTTATGTGGCCCTTTGCCTTTCTAACCCAAAGAAGTTCACTGTGTCATCCATCCAACTTCAGCTCAGTCAGTTTAGACA